TAAGCATGTAAGCAATTGAATGTAACATCTGGTAAGACTCGGAATCAGAACCAAATTGCATTTCCATCGCTTTCTTCTGAGCTTTCCATGACTTCTTATATGACATTGAAATGCCATAATCCATGCTCATATCAGCCATGAGTTGTTTGGGTGTGTAGGGGTTTATAGAAGCATCCAAAAATTTATGTGCAACCATATTTGCAATGACATCATATGTTGCTTGTCTATGTTTGTCTTGTCTATAATCAACAGAACAAACATGTTCTGGATCATACCTGGAGATAAAAAGAAATATATAGTTCATGAAAGCTAAAAGGTAAACATGGCATTCAAAAACAAGTACGTAAACACAAATGCCATGATTATGGCATTTCAAAGAAAAAAGGAAGTTGAATAAATATCTGAAAAGAACAGAAACACTTATTTGTATACTATAGGTTCTGAATTATTGAATATTAATGCAAAGCAAAGAAAACTATAATACAAGAAAAAGTGTAAGCACAAAAACTAGTAATGCACATGTAAAATTAAAAAGAAAAAGTACAAGCGTAAATATAAAAGAAGAGAAGATATGTGACCTGCGGATCTGAAACATCTGAACACCATTTAAATTAACAGCACAAAGAGCCCAATCACAATCAGGATCTAAACAAATAACATGCAAAGTATGTTTTTTTGAAGTCTTGGCTCTGTATTGAAAGCTGTTCCTGATGGCAAACATCCTCAAATGATATATCAGGTCAAGCTTATTCTTGTATATAACATGTAGAGCAATGCAAGTTGGATGATGATGTGTGAGAATTTTCAAATTGTGGAAACTATAATCTGATTTAGGAGATGGTGGGAGAGATTCATCTTAAAATGTATCACTGTCTTCTGAATGTGAGGTGCTTGCATTGACCACAAATATTATTAATTAAATCACTATGTGATGTCAAAGATACAGAAGGAACGTTATCACCAAAATCAAAGTCACAATGTTTACCTGTAGTCATTCCTCGATAAATAATGTTGGACGAAGACTAATCAGAAGAAATATATGACTAATAACATGTATTATGTTGCTCCTCAGAATGAATGGTAAAAGTATTTGTGGAATAAAACTCCACACATAAAGGAAACTTATAAAGATCAGGTTCTATCAACTTAAAGTCAAGGTAAAATCTGAAAGTGGATTCATATCATCATTAATTATAACAGGCTGGGGGGGCCTTCAACAAAATAGGAGAGTATGAATTTATGACGGAGTCTATACTGAAGAAGCATCTCCGTAAACATTGCAACAAATGAATCATATGTTGCAAGAGAGCAGACATGAATAGCATACGTATCGGTATGGTTAAATGTAAAGTCAGAGGACCAGGTACCATTCAACTTCAACATAACAACTACAACAACATCCATCAAACTGAAAATACATATATACAAAAAGGGAAAAAAAGTAAGCACAACACAGAGAAAACATGGCGGTCAATATATAAAAATGACAAGAAAAAGTAAAAGACAATAAAAAATGGCAATAACTAAAACGTGTAACAAAAACAATAAAAATGTATTTGTAATTCAATATTAGAATGAAATTTCAAAACATGGAAGTAAAAATCTCATTTAGTGGACATTACAATGCACAAACATAAACACACATGAAAATGATGGCAAAGAGAAAACAAGAGAACAATAATGAATCATATCACAAATGAAAAACGCAGAACTTATCAAATTGAAATAAAAAAAGACTACAAATCAGTTGTGAATTACATCAAAAAAGCAATAACAAAAATCAAGTGTAATACAACAAACAATTAGAAATTAATGATTGAATTACGTACCTGGAAATTTGATGTCCAATTGAACTAATATCGGAGTGTGCACTCTCAAAATCGATGAACAACGACGAACGGCAAAGAACAAAAAAAAACAGAAAGAATTGCGAAGGAGAAAAGAGAATGAACGCAAGTTTAGAAATAGCTTTCTAAAACGAAATCAACGGCTAAGGAGGAAGAAGGTAGTTAACGAAATGACGGCGGAAATATTAATTAGATGCGTGATTGCACATTTATTAAACAAGGGTATAATGGACATTTGACAAACACACGAAATTATAATAGGGACTAAGATAGTCCTAAATAGGGAAAAATTAAGCATGTAGAGCAAAAAACTCTATTGTTTTTTACTTAATTAAGTCCTATTCTGGAGTTTACGAATTAATTAAGTCCCATTTAGAGCAAAAAACTCTATTGCTTAATGTAACCTTAGGATGACTAATTTATCCTTTTTTATTCTCTAATGAAAATTAAAATAAATTACGCTACAGAGTAGTTGATACAAGCTTGACATACGAGTATACAACCTCACAATACCTTTAACCTTTATATATACGAAGTAAAAATCAATATAAAAAATAACTGTACATCCAATAATTTGGTGACATATGGCAAAAAATTATTGTTTTATAAAATGTCATAAATTTTTCACTTAGTAAACAAAATAAAATTATGATTTTAAATTTTATATGACACTCATATCATCACATATGTAAAATTTTGGAAAACAAAATTATTCTAGTTTGGTTTATTTATAAATTTTGGTCTTATAATTTTTTTACAATTGTTTAGATTTAGTCTAACTTTGATCAGATCTATTTGACTTGATCTAGTCTGATCTGATTTGATTTGATTAAATGTTGCCAAGTACGGCTGTATGGGATCGAGATTGGTCTAAGTAAAAAAGGGATGAGGGTCAAATTGGGCACCATGGTTATATGAGAATATCATAATGGACACTAAAGTTTCAAATGAACCAAATTGGACACTATGGTTACACGTCTATCTCATATTGGACACTAACATTTCAAATGAATCAAATTTAACGTGTTTCTGATCGTTTTTTGACACATACCTAAGATTTTCACCTTTGAAAGCTATAAGGATTCCTTTTTCCCTTTGTTTTATGTATCTAAAAAATAAAAATAACTTAATTCATGTATTTAGATTTAGAATATATAATTATATGTTGCAATTAAGAAAATCTATTATAATGTAATTGAATTAATTATTATTTTTAAATCAATTTAAGAAACCAATATTTCACAAAGTTCAGTAAAATTCATATGAATGAAAAGTCCTAAATATATTTTTAAATTGTTAAATATAAGAAGTTATTAATTAAAATCAAATTATATATTCTAAAACCTCAAATTAAATATTCCAAATTATATACATAAATTAAATTAGTTTATTTTCACCAAAAAGTAAAGGAAAACTAAGACTAACGATTTTTATTAAAGGAATAAGAGAAACATAAGTGAGTGTCCAAAAACTATGAATTATGAAACTTTAGTGTCCAATATGAGATACATATGTAACCATAGTGTCCAATGTGGTCCATTTAAAACCTAAATGTCCAATATGAGATTTTCATGTAACCATAGTGTCCAATTAGGTCCATTTAAAACCTTAATGTCCAATATGAGATTTTCATGTAATCATAAATGTCTTTCATATGTGGACCCTAAATATAAATTATTGGGATAATGGTCCAGGTCGAGCACCATCCCGTTACACCGAGCATGGACCTGATCAGGCCTAGAACACAGCCCGACTAGCGAAAGTTTGTATGAGATTATTTAATTACCTATCAGGACGGCTGGCCCGTGAGCGTCTGAAGTAGTTCTTAAATTTGTTCAATCCCATGTAACATTTAATTATTCAGTCTCTCATAAATAGGGGTGAGCATATTCCGGTCCGGACCAAAAAACCAGATTGATTCAACTCGGTCGTCCAGACCAAACACAGACCAGTTACATACCAACCCGATCTTTGGTCCAAGCTTTTTGAAGTTCCGAGTCCCGCTCCAATCCGGTCCGAACTCGGAGTATTTAGGTCTGGATTGGTTGGAGCGTAATTAATTAATTAATTATTGCTCCATATATTTTAAATATATTTTCTTAGTCTAAAATGTATTACGGAGTAGTATATTACAATATTAAGATCCAATTTACATTTAAGTTTATTTGATTATGTTTTCAAGAAAGATTTACGTTTAAATAAAATAATAGCCATTAAAGTTTTGTTTTTTACAATTTTTTTAATTAACAATCCAAACACGGTCCAATATCGGTCCCAACCAGTCAAACCGGGTATAATCCGGTCCGGTCATGGACCAGAATTATGTAGGCCAAGACTTCGGTCCAATATTTTAGGGAATTCCGGTTCCGGTCCCGTTCGGTCTTGGGCCGATGTTCACCCCTACTTGTAAACGCCTATAAATAGGCCCCAACCTCTTGTAATCAGAATGCTATTTTTACTGAAGTGTTATCGTTTTTCTTTCAAGATTTGAAATATACATATTAATTTGGCAGTAATTAACTCATCAAGAGACATTAAATTTTCAAGGGGAAAGGTGCAAATAAGCTCTCGAACTAACTGAAAACGTGCAAATCCCCCCTTTTATAGGAGGCTCTGTCAAGCCATCGACATTTGGGGAGGTTCCCAGTGAATTTTTTTGATGAACTTTTTTTAGCATCTTCTTCCTTAAGTCTAGTTTACCGATACCAAATTTCAGCTAAAAATTCAAGCGGGAAGGCAGTTAAATGTTTTTCTGAAATATACTGCGTTGTTTAACTGCGCCTTATCTTCAAACATTTATTTGGCTAACTTTCCGATTGTATTTTTAGCTGAAATTTGGTATGAGTAAACTAGACTTAATGAAGAAGATGTTCAAAACAATTCATCAAAAAATTCCACCGGTAACCACCCCAAATGGCGATGGCCGGACAAAGCCTCTTATAAAATACTAGTATGCAACTTCTTTCCTGTTTTAAATATAATAATTTGATTTATAAACATTTAGTTGTACGTATTAGTACACTTTAATCAACTTTTAGGTGAATGTGATGGTATTCTTGAAAAATGTTCCTTGCTTGCCTCGGCCAAACACCTTTTTATTATTTTGCTTCAAATATGATCCTTCATCACCTCAGCTCCTTCCTGCAGCCTACAAATCACTATATGCTTTGTCCATTGTCACCTTCTTACTTTTGATCACCCGTTCAAACTAAAACTAAACCTTCCACGGTGACCAGCCGGCCAATAGATTTCCTTCCTTTTTCAACAATTCTTCTATGCATATATTTTGTATAGCTTGAGAAATTTTGCTATAGTTGCACATTATTACGTACTGATCGACGACAATATATGGAGGAAACAGAGGGTCGATCTTTTGAGGATACTCCGACGTGGGTTGTCGCCGTCGTGTGCTCCACCATCATCCTCCTTTCCCTACTAGCAGAGCGTGGCCTCCATAAACTTGGATTGGTATGCTATATATATACATACACATACTTGCATATACATTGATACATATATATTCCCGGAGCGGTTTCAAGAATCATGTTTAACGTAAGAATGTGAGAAACATTCACTTTTAACATAATTTGGTTCTCTACGAGTTCATATGTTTCACTTTTTAAATTTTGATCAAAATATGTCAATGTCAAATAAATGTGATGATAGATTCGTAAATATTTCATCAACACGAAAATGTGTGAAGTATAAGCGATATAGTGCATCACATTTGTTTAAAAGTGAAGTTCTCACGTTCTCCTAAGTTCCATTCGCCCAAATTCTCTTAAATAAGAATAAAAAAGCTTGTTTCCATAAACAAGAGTACAATATATGTTTTTTTCTAGATATGAATAATTTATGTCATGTTTAGGCAATACTAGAAAAGTAAAATAGTACATACCTAAAATCATAAACATATTTGATATTGTGGTTCTAGATTATCATAGTAATGAGGTGGTACTAATTATCGATCGTTTTCATTAAATACTGGTCACTGTTGTTAATATGAAGACCGGCGAGTGAAAGCACTAAAGTCATTATGTGCCCCAAAATAAATTCACTACTAAAGGCTAATACAGTAATATAGCGTAATAAAGTTCATATCCACATGAAAAAATGTTTTTCAAGTATAGCGTAATCAAAGTAACAGAAAAGGGGATTAGATCTAATCTAAAAACCTTATATTTGTGAATGATGATCGATACACATTTTTATGTCAATACGTTATTTGCATAAAATGTTGTACCTTCTTTTTTATAAATTAAAAAGTATACTTTCTCATTGAAACGCTTCTCACAAGTCATGGTAATATAATGTCTTTATCATAATACTTGGCTTTGACCATCAAATTTCAGAAACTAAATTAAAACTTTTATAAAGCCGCAAAATTTAAGAAGACTTTACATTGATCGGAGAATAATGGACATGAACTTTGTATAAGAAGGAGGTAGTATTATACTCCCTCCGTCCCTAATAATTTTACCAAGTTTGACCGGCACGGGGAATAATAAAGTAAAAATCGTGTGGTTGAGGTTTGTGCAGAAGAGAGAGAATGAACCATAACCACAAATTCTTTACTTAAAAGGGAAAGTGGCAAAGCTAGTGAGACATCCAAAAAAGGAAAGTTGGCAATGTTATAAGGGACGGAGGGAGTATAGTTCAGTACACAAAATTGAAAGTAAAGTGTTTAGTAAAAAAATGTTATTTCTCTATGAATTGAAATAGAGAATAATTATCAATCAATGACCTGAAAGATGATTGTCGATACAAAGCTCGAATGATTGGAAACCATCGATCAAATACTATTCCGTCCTCACTTAAACTTCTCATTAAAAAATGATATGATTACTTAGATAATAATCAAAGTGTTTTCTTCTTCTTTTTTCCTGGGAACCACCTTTCCATGTTGGTAAATGCCAGGGATCCGAGGAACATTTGCTAAAGAGATTTTTTCTAAAATATTACTAACAAAGAAGTCTTTGACGAGAATGTGACTTAGTGTATGTTTGGCACAACTAGCTGAAAAGATACTTTTGTGAGATTTTTAATAACTGTTAGCTTTTAGTGACTGAGAAGATCTTAAAGAGAAAAGGTGGTAGCTGTTTGGTAAAAAGCCGACTGTTTGAAATAGTTCGGTTTGCTATACAAGTTGTTAGAACTAATTAATACTAAAAGTCACGGGCTTTTTTCAGATGCTACTCCCTGTAGCATCTCAAAAAAGATGTTTTAATTTTTGAAAAGCTCTTAAAAATTGTCATGCCAAACATAAAACTAGAAGCTTATAGAGACTTTTTGAACAGTACAAAAGCTAGAAGACAGAGACTTATGCTTGCCAAACATAGCCTTAGTTACTTTTAGTGACTATAATTGTGTTCCAAGTTTATTTCACTACATCATACTAACTTTTAATATAGTTATAGTCACCAAAAGTTACCAGAAATAATATTAGTAATTTTAGTTATAGTCACTAAAAAAGTGTTGATGAGTATATAACATAATTGGTGTTTTATTTTAAATATTTGATGATTAAATTATCACTTAAATAAGGGAAGCTTTAGCTGGGATATAAAAAAGAAGCAAGTGAGAAGCTTATGGAAGAGCATCTCCAATGGTTGCTTCTAGGGACTTTCTTGCAATTTTAAAGTTATTAGCCTATCATTGGAGTGCATCTTTTCTTCTAGCTTGGGCAATTAAATTACCTAAAACAAGCTACTTGCTAGAATTGGCAAATACCGAATTTGAATTGATATTGTTTAATTTAGTATTTTTATTTTTTATTGTTTTGCTTTGTTGATTTTAAAAAAAGGAAGCTTTAGCTGGGATATAAAATAGAAAAAACAAGTGAGAAGCTTATGCAAGGACGAAAGGAGTATTAGATTTTGATTTCTTTACGTTTTTAATTATTTTATTGCTAATTTTTATGATATTTTATTCACAAAAACTTCTTTTTTAATAAAAAATAAATAATATTTAAAACATATATAAAATTGATAATTAGGGTAATTATTATTTCAATATTGGGCATTAGTCATCGTGCATTGCACGTATAGAAAGCTAGTAATGTGATAAATGAGAGACCAAATAAACACTAAGATGAATGCATTAAAATATCCCTCTTGAATACATAATTGTGGAGAAACTCCAATTCATTTAGGATAGTTATTAATAACAAGACACGGTCCTTAATAGTCCTTACTGTTAGTCAGTATGGAACAAGCGCCGTATATTGATCTTAATAGTAGCATTCATTCGATTTACTGAAATCAATTAAGAATGATAACTTGTAACTCGAGGTGAATATTCTCGACTGTCTCAACGAGAATCTGAGGTCCAGCTATTCTATCTAATTCATCCATCTGTCATCTAATTAAATCAATTAAGATCGATAACTTCAACACAAGCTTTTTTTCGATTCAACCAATATAATTACTCTCTTAGATTAATAACCATGAGACACATGCATTATTAATCCAATGATACTACTTATGAAAGGATCAAGTAAATAACAAGTGTATTTATTGAGAAATTCTAATAATAATAATAATAAATCTAAGACATTAGCTAATTGATCACTTAGTTATGCTTCAATATCAATATGAAGTATGAATAGGGAAATCATTAATGCTTAAGAGAGGATGATTAAAGAAATAACTCACAACTTACAAATCTCAAACTTCAATATAACAAAAGCAAGTTCAAAAGACTACCTAAATCACAAGAATGAACTCTATATCAAAGAATAGTTCATGTGTAGATGTATACATAAAAGAAGATGTATTGTTTGCTTAGGAATGTGCAAGGATTTATAGTGTTATTTGGCTCAGATTTTGGAACGGAAAATATAATTGGATACAAAACGGTCTTATTTTGGCACGGATTTTGGCACGAAAAAATCCGTTTGATCGAACCGTTTGAAAATCATCCCCGGAATACACAACGGTCACTTTTTGGCTCGGAATTTGACACAGATTTATCGTAACGGTCATCTTTTGGCACGGATAACCCGTTTGAGCCAAAAGCCTAAAAACAAAATTGTATTCAAAAGTTTGGCACGGATGTTGGCTCAATATTTTTGTCTCGGATATTGGCAGTGATCCTCATCAATGCAACATGTTAATTTTGGCACGGAAAAGGCCATTCCAGTTGGCACGGAATTAGGTTGGGATGGTGTTGGCTCGGATATATTTGAGTCAAACACTGAAAGTACAAAACGGTGTTGAATCGGATTCGTATCCGTGCCAATTTGAAACAGCATTTGGATCAAATTTTCGAGAAGGCAAAATTTTTGGGTTTTTTTCGGTTTTGGATCGTGTTTTGACGCGGCTTTTCCGAGACAAACTGTAGAAACAGATTTATCCATGCCAAAATGTATACGCTTTATATATATTAGTTAACCGATACCGAGGTTTTTTAGAAGTGAAATATTACTTTAAACAAATTAGAATGAAATAAATGGGAAACATTCTCACAGGGCAAGAAGCAGAAGACGAATTAAATTAAACCCCACCAAATATCTATTACGTACTAAGTATTGTACATTGTTCTGAATATAAAATTACACATGAGAATAATCATACGAGTATATGTTTAAGAGACTGTTTGGTTCTTGTTCTAGCTTATCAACCTTATCATCTTTATCGAATACATGATTTTTATTTTGCATAACGAATTGTGTTATAATCAAAATAAGTAAAGTGAAAATTACTTTTCTGTTTGAATTAACTGAAATTACTATAGTGGACAAATTTAACTATCTTTTCATATAACATATTAACAAAATAATTTTAAATATATTTTAAAATATTCTTTTCATAATTTAATAGTTCCGGCCAATTCAATTGTTTTGGCTAGAATTTCATAAATTCCATATATTTCAGCCGATAAATTTTGTTACCAAACGATCTCTTACTAATATTGATTGCATAAGGACATGTCATGACTCATGAGACTACCACGAATCAACCAAAATGGAAGCGAAATTAGAATTTCTACATTTCTCTTAACTAAATTCATTGATCCATATACAGAATATTTAATAGTATCATTTTTGTCAAAAACATAATAATAACCTTTGTACACTCTTGATTGGAATCCAGCTGTTCAAGAAAAAGGGTTTAGAGACACTATTTGAAGCCTTGCAGAAACTTAAGGATGGTACATATACTAACTTGTCATTTACTCTTTCAACTTTGTGTATACGAAGTATATCCTTGCTTGTGATATACGCATTCTATAACCTTTCATATTCATAAAATGTAGAAAGTTTAATTTATATACTTCCACATAACTCTTCAATGGGTTACGTTCTTGGGACTTCTGGGCATCTTGGGGCTCAGGGATGTAGACATGGAGTGTAATCCATTTTTATTTTATTTTTTGATGATATAGATGGATATAACCTCTATTAAAACAAAATATTTGATACATACACATATTTAATTATTGCCTTTGTCCCTATTTAAAATTCCCACTTTGACTTCCACTAATATTAAGGAAATAATTTTTTCCCCTTTGTTTGACATTATGCTGTCATTATTATTTAATGGTAGTAGAGTAAATATGTATATATTTGTTTACCAAATAAGGAAAAGAGACTTTATTAAGGGACATCAAAAAAGGGGAATGAGAAGTTTATTTAGGAATGGAGGGAGTATATGTTTGTAGAAAATGTGGATGTATATGGGTGTGGGAGTGGGGTAAGATAAATGGATATATTTTCCATAACCAAATCATAAACCTTGACAACATTAAGTTTAAGACTTTGAAACAAAATAAAGAAAAATGTGCACATATAATTTTAATTTTTACTTTCGGATGTAAATATGGTATAAAATTATCAATATCATTTTGGTTAAGAAAACTTTGGAGATAAAATCTTTAAATCATTGTAACTATCATATTTCGTAAAATATAAGAGGGGGGAATTGTTATTTTAAGTTATTGCCTAGACTCACTTTTGGTCCTATAAATTTAATCACTTGCAAATTTGGTCCCGCGACTAATAAATTTATCCACAATAAGAACTCTTTCACTAGAAAGCACACATTTTAGGAAAAAAATATACCGTAAAAGATGTTGTAAGTGCCAATTTCTTGCGAAAAAGTTCTTCATGTGAACAAATTTATTAGTCACATGATCAAATCTGCAGTTCAGTAAAGTTAGAGGAATAAAAGCTAGAGAGCATAGACAAAAGTTGAAAGACTAGATCTACATCTTTCTAACTATAAGATGTATGATGTTTTATAAAAATTTAGGAAAAGGGGCAAATAAGCCTTCGAACTAATCGAAAAAGTGCAAATCACCCCTTTTATAGGAGGCTCTGTGCGGCCGTCTCCATTTGGGGAGGTTACCGGTGGAATTTTTTGATGAATTTTTCCGAGCATCTTCTTCATTAAGTCTAGTTTATCCATACCTAATTTCAGCGAAAAATGCAATCGGGAAGGTAGTCAAATAAATGTTTGAAGATAACTGCGCAGTTAAACAGCGCAGTATATTTCAGAAAATCATTTGACTGTCTTCCCGGTTGCATTTTTGCTGCAATTTGGTATAGGTAAACTAAACTTAATAAAGAATATGATCAAAAAAATTCATCAAAAAATTCTAGCGGGAACCTCCCCAAATGGTGACGGCTGGACAAAGCCTCCTATAAAAGGGGTGATTTGAACTTTTTCGGTTAATTCAAGGGCTTATTTGCACCTTTTCCCTAAAAATTTCAAACTATACAAAATAAAATAGTGTTAACCGTTTATGTTTATTATTGTTATACAAATATATATAATTTTAGTATAAAAGAAATCTTTTAAATCTGAAACATATATTTAAGATGGTTAAAGGGTCAAATAGGCCCCTGTACCGGTCGTTTAAGCTCAATTCAGTCCCTGAACTAAAAAAGGTTCAATTCACACCTCGAACCGACAAAAAATGGTTCAAATTTCATTTTTTACGGGTAAACAACCAGTCATTTTTTTAAGTTTTTATTGTTTCTTTTTTATTTTCGATTTATTGCAATTTTGACACTTTTTAATAGTTTAGGGGTGCGAATTGGACCTTTTTACCGGTTTCTTAACCTTAAAAAATAAAATTTGAACTCTTTTTTGTCGGTTCATGGTGTGAATTGAACCTTTTTTAGTTCAGGAATTGAATTAAGCTTACATGATCGGTTCAGGGGCCTATTTGACCGTTTAGCCATTTAAGATTAGCGTGTCCAGAGGGTTGTAGAATGTATTGAAAGAAAATAAATATTCAAATTTTATATTGATTTAGATTGATAGAAACATTTAGAGAAAGGTAGGATTTTAAAAACATACTTTCATATTTTTGTATATTGTTGAGAAGACCAAAAATAGGCTAAAGGGTCAAATAGGTCCTTGTACCCTTTCGGATTGCTCAATTTGTCCCCTCAACTCAAAAAAGCTCCAATTGGCACCCTGAACTCGATAAAAATATTCAAATTTCACTTTTTACAGGCTTCAATCCGGTCACCGCCATGTCACCCGGTAGGCTGCCAACTGTGCATGTGACGTGGCAACTTAGGGGGTCCAATAAGCACCTGAACCCGATCGAATCGTTCAATTTACCCCCCTCAACCCTAAAAAATGTCAAAAAAGTTTTAAGGGTTGAGGGGGTAAATTGAACATTTCAGTCGGGTTCAGGGACTCATTCGACCCCATAAGTTGCCATGTCACATGCAAAGTTGGCACCCTACCGCGTGATGTGGCGGTGACCGGCTTGTGACCTGCAAAAAGTAAAATTTGAATCTTTTCATGGAGTTCAGGGTGCAATTGGGGCTTTTTGAGTTCGAGGGGCAAATTGAACAATCTGGAAAGGTACATGGGCCTATTTGACCCTTTAGCCCCAAAAATAAGAAATGGTTAGTTCAATATATTAAGGGTTTAAAGTAGATTTTTGTTTAAAGTTATCAAGGTGTTGGAGAATATTTTTATGGTGTCCATTCATGTTTTATATATTTGTATTTGTGTTTGTAATTAATATAATTAATAGACAATGGATAACTTTGTGTTAGGGTTCATATGTCTCTTTCATAGCCTTATTATGTAACTGGCATAACCCCAGACCTATGAAGTCTAGAGGATATGATCGAAAACCTAAGAATCTAAGAATCATAGCTATTAGACTAGGCATTCATACATTCTATGCTAGGGAGATTAGAGAGGTGGCCGTTCATACCCTGTACTGAAGTTCAATATTATTTGGTATTGAATCGCAACTCTATTTCTACTCTATTCTGTCTATTCTTCATTTGATTGTTGGAATCCAGATTTACACAAGGTCCAATTCGCTTCTTGATAGAAACAGTGAGGATTTTTTTACACGTAGCTTATAAAAAAGTAAGGGCTAATCTGCATCTTCAATTAAACGTTAAGGGCGCATTTGCACCTTTTCCAATAAAATAAAATATTTCTAACCACTTGTCATTCCATCCAAATGATGCACCTCAAATTTTTCATGTGAACAACACTTCTCGCGGAGCCCATACAATGCACTAATGGAATCTATATTATTATATCTCAGGTTAAATGGTAGTAGTCATTCTTTTTTTAAGTTGGTAATAATCATTCTATAACTCATTTAGTGCATGTCACAATATCATGCACATTTAATTACCAACTTCTTGGCGGCCCATCTGAGGGGTGGTTGGTATCTGTTGGGCTTCTTGTGCTCATTGGACCTATTGGTAATGTAGTGTGAGTATGTGGATCAGAGGGTCCTAGGCCATATACTCTATCACGTCTCTTTCTCTATATTTTGATACGAAAACATAAGACTGGTCCATACTATATTCTTACTTTGGGCCTACTCATCCAGTAGGGCATTTTTAACATCTTCATGGTCACTGAAATTGCTTATAGTGACAAAGAGTATTCAAAAGATTCTGAAATAGTCATGTTTTCATTTATTAAGGTGCTGCATTGTAAGTTGTGACTCGCGAGATGTTTCATTAACAATATCATTTTGAGAGACATCTTTACTTAATACCTATTCTATATCCTCTCCCATATTTTTTATGCATTCTACTCTTGAGAGGCGTGATGAAAAACACAGTGGTCAAACCATTGTCTTATTTGTGCCACGATTTTGTTATTAGTTCTATTAGTTTTCACCTAGGCATCCTCCCTATTTGTGTCTAGTTTGATGCCTTTGTATTCTAAACGCCCCACTAAAATCCTTTAGAGTGTTGATATGAAAGAGGATGATAGTTTCCTGCTTTTGTTAGGTAGTCTCTTTCTTGAGCCAACAAAAAAGGCTTCGACAAAGGATCACTAAGATAAGAAATTCCTTGATGTTCGAGAGAGAGTTCACACAAGGTGCAACTATTTTCAAAATGATGACGGTGACACATGATAATTGTGGCGTTGGATGCTGAATAATGAGATATCGAGTCCTTCCTCCATGGGAACTCAAAGGAAATAAAGGTGTGGAGTGGTATGGGAAGTTGCCTCTACAATGATAGATCGACTCTCACTATGATGACAAGTTATGAAACTGAAATTAAAAAATATATTGAGTCGATGAGAAAGATTCCATTAACTTTTCTTTAATGTTGTAAAGAAGATGAATCAAATCTTCTCACGTTGTTTGAAAAGAAAGAGGTATATAAGGATGGATTGGCTTTCTTTAAGGTGTTGAGAAAAAGAAACATTTCTTGAATGAAGGTTGCGGTTTGAAGAAATAGACATTGTGTAATAAGGTTATCTTTCCGTAATGTACTCAAAGAAAGAGAATTACGTGAAGAAGTGTATATCATCACAAGAATCTTAGTCTTAGGAAAATATGAAATAATTATTTGTTGACAAAGTTAAATCATCTAAGGTATGACAGAGACAGGATCACAAGAGGGACGAATTGTAGTGTTCATCATCCTTCGTTCAAACCTCTTCTGTTAACCCAAGCAAGAGACCACACACCAAAAGTAGGAAACTATCATTGTCCTTCATATGAATACTCTAAATGTTTCGCAGCCAATGCCAAAATGGAATACATAGAGTTGACTATAAAATAGATATTCAAAGCTTAAGTTGTAAAGCAACACAAATCTAAGAGAAAATGACAGAGTTTGTGAGTGAGTAGTGTGTGAGTTTTTTGTTGGTAGTTCAATGTGACAGGTGCTCTTCGTACTTGTAACTGTATGTCATTTTGTTGAATAAAAGAACTTTCTAACACAAAATAAGTCTCGATCTTAATCAATTAGCTAGATTCAAGAGTAAATAATGATTGAACTAATTTTATCTTGCATTTATACTCATAACTTGGCATGCATAGATATAAACATACATCTATACATATACGAAGATACAATACATGCATGCATACATGCATACATACATATGTACATACATACATACGTACGTACATAAATATGTACGTACATACATACGTACGTACATACATACGTACACACACACATACATACATGAATGCATGCATACACACACATACATATGCATGTACATACATACATATAAAATATACATATAAATATATATACATTTATGTGTGTGGAGGCATTTATTATTTGTAACGTGTGTTTAATTTGGTATGCAGAGCTGATGCTTTTGGGATTTATTTCACTACTTTTAACTGTAACTCAAGGGCTAAGCAAACATTTATGCATTCCTCACTATCTTTCAACCATCATGCTTCCATGCAAAACCAATGAAAAATCTTCACAGCATGAAATTCCCTTTGCTGTTCGTCATGAAACTGACACCATGACAAGAAGACTTTTGACTGCAGATACAAGCACGCAACATTGTGCAATCAAGGTATGAAACTATATATACATTATTTGAGAACTTATGATAGAAAGTTTTTAAAAAGATTAAGGATTAACACAGGGTGGTGGGTGGGGCTATCATTCTCTCATATTGACCACACAAGTTATCACAAGTAGGGATTGAGAAAACTAGTGATTGCAAACTACACCCCATATTTCATCAAGTAATCCTTTTGCATTTATTAATTTTTACTATGCAATATACTTTTTTTTTACATTTTTCATTATTTGCAATGGAGCCAAAGACTCACAACTTTTTGGCTTGAGAATATGATGGAATAAAGAAAAATGGCTCACTAAATTGTCTTTGCTTATTTGTTATGAAGTAGTAGTCGGTCCATGCAATTTCGATGCGAATTTCACTATGGGTCATTCAGAAACAATCTCTCTGTGTTTTAGTATAGGGGTAAGACTGAGTACATCCGACCCCCTTATCCCACCGTAGATGGGAGCCTTGGCATCACTGGGGCGATAATGATGATGATGAATATATTTGTTTTACAAGAATAAAAGTTTTACTAAAATATAGAAGTAAAGACAATCACTAATGAAAGGACAAATTTAAAGAAATAACATAAAGTTAAAAAATACGCTAATGAAAAAAAATGATTCACAACCGAATAAGAAGCCCTCATCCTCCTAAAAGTAGAAACCAATCGTCAAGGTCTTCAGCAATACCAAAGATATTAGTTGAAACCACTCATCCGCAAATAAGAACAATCATGACGAATCATCCCTATCAAGAAGCAATCACAAAATTCTGAGGTAAATCTAACCCTTGAACTCTTTTTTTTAGCTTGAAGTAGCTAGCGCACTTTGTCTAAGCTCAAATTGAGTAGCACTTTTATAGTTAGGATTACTTAGTTGAGCAAGCAACTCCTGGTCTGAATTGTAACCCGAAGACTCCTCATCTGAAACATCATCAATATCCAATTGAGAGGGGAAATTTACCCTAAATAGGACTAACACATTTGTATATTCCAAAATAGGACAATTATGTTTTTATTCCCTAAATAGGAATAATTACTACCATGTTTTGGCAGTACCAGACTTAAAACATGGTAGTATTTTTCAAGCTTGACAATAATTACTCATATTTAGGGAATAAAAACTTGTCAGACATATTTTCGAATTCTTAAAAAAATTTACTCCTATTTCGAGAGTTTTCCCGATTGAGAACTGCCGTGATTGGCTTTTGCTAACTTTGATCAGGGAGCGAGACCTGAATCAACGTTACTTGCATGAGTTCCTCCATATTACTCTCATCCTCCCTTATTGCCCTAGCCATACCATCATAACAGCTCTCCATCGAAATGACAATATTCACATTAGCATCGATAGACTCCACAATCTCACAAACCTCAATCGTAGAGTTAGAACAAATGACTCCTCAATCTCCCAACACATTATCCATGGTCCTTTTTTTCGCCTCTTTTAAGACATCAAATTGACTTAATGAAGTAGAGCTAAACAGGAAAAAATCAAGTCTTTTCCTGCCTTCTGGTATAACAAAAGTAGAAGTATCCCCATTATCAATCACAAAAGTAGAAGTATCCCCATTATCAATCACCACCAAATGAATAAATCCTTGATACATATTTTCTTCAAATTAAAAGAAAGAGTTAAATTTCTAGAGGTTCCGTACATAGTAATTTTCCAATCATTCATAGATTGCAGACTACAAAACTGTCAAAAAGTATCATAAAACTAGTTAACACATCACAATTTTTTCTTGCGGGGGCCTCGATCTCCACCCCTGCATGGAAGCCCCTTTCCTGAGAATATAGTCTGATGTCATTGTACTCTTTCTCTTGGCCCCCCGACCCCGTCCGTCCCAGTTTGAGTCTCCGACCTAGTGATGAGATTCACCAACCTTAATAAGATCAAATCAAATGTGTAACATACTAGTAAACCATGCCCATTAATTCAAATCAAATTATGATATGAAGAATAATATGATAGATAAATTAAATACGGAGTATGTGTCTATAAACTTATTATTGAAGTTGCAATATATATGTGATATAGAAAGAGTATATCTCACGCAACAATACATGCTTATTTGGATGTATTAAATCGTATTACTCTATCCCTACATGATTATGATTTGAGAAGTCAACCTTTTCTAATCAACACGGCATCACTTTATTTATTTTTTCAGCATATCAAAATTTTATTAAATTCTAATTTTGATTTTATGCTTGTATAAAGCTTTTGATGTAGTTACTAAATATGTAAACGTTAACTATTACATTTATTTAAAATCTACACAAGAATGATTTAACTTGATCATTTGTAAATTGCAATTTTATTTGGGACAGAGGAAGTATTATATAATACTATTACCCCCTAGAGTTGGAGTGGATAGCATAAAAATAAGGTTAAAGGATCAAATAAACCCCTGTACCGATCGTGTAAGTCAATTCAGTCCCTGAGCTAAACAAAGGTCCAATTCTCACCCCGAACCGGCAAAAAAAGGTTCAATTTTCATTTTTTACAGGTAAACAACCGGTAAAAAGGCCCAATTCACACCCTTAGACTATTAAAAAGTATCAAAATCGCAATAAATCGAAAATAAAAATCAGAAACAATAAAAAATTAAAAAAATGACCGGTTGTTTACCCATAAAAAATGAATTTTGAACCATTTTGTGTCGGTTCGAAGTGCGATTTGAATATTATTTTAGTTCAGGGACTGAATTGAGATTACACGACCGGTACAGGGGCCTATTTGACCATTTAGCCTAAAAATAAAACTCCCAACTTGGCTAATAAAAAAATTTATCCGATCCCCTTCTTGACAAATCAATTTGTTAAGATATTATCTATTGTGTCCAATGTTCTAAAAGGTGCCACACGATAGTCAGACGTCAGCCCAGTGCCTGCCACCTAGGCAGCTAGGCGAGTGCCTAGGCAGGGACTAGTTGGAAACCTAAAAATTGTATTTTTATCAATATTTTGCATGCATATGATAAGTAATATTGTGTTATGTGTGTTAAAAAAATATACTCACACTTTAACATGCATGAATGATAGAATTGTAATAAGTACGGATAATACTATGTACTACAGAATAAAATTTAAGAATATATACAAACATTTATAGCTTTTATCTTGATCTACAAGTAACTTTCTTCTTATCTCTGGTTAAAGTTAAAGGTACTTATATATCTTAGACATATAAAAGAAAAAAGAAAAAATACTCAGCAAATCTAGATGCCCAAGGTGACCGATTAGGCGTTCTGGGCAGGCGACTAGACACCCTAGGTGGTCGATTAATTCACCTAGGCTCCAAATCAATTAATCGGGCGCCTAGAATAAAATCGGGGAGCCCGGCCACCGCCTAGTGCCCAAGCGGGGACTAGTCGGGCGCCTAGAATGACTTTTAGAACACTAATTGTGTCCAAGATGGAACACATGATGTTTTAGTAAATATATAAATAATCTCATCCTGAATAAGTTGACAATCTATTTTGATGCATTTTTTTTATTCATGAAACACCATGTATGCCACTGTATGAAATGGTGTGTGCTATCATAGTAGACATTAAAATGATTTATTGCATAAATGTTGAAGGAATCAAGTACACCTCTTAACCATTGTTTTAATTTGTAAGTAGGTGCAGTCATAGTTGTATATTTAGTTTCAACTAACGAATTAGCAGCAATCTGTTTTTTCTTTATTTTCCAATACATAGGAGAGAGAAGATCGAACTAACAAATAAGTGTGTGAGACAATGTCAAGTGGAAGGCAAAACACCCCAATTAGAGTCACACCATTCTTCCTTGCAAAGGGAGGAATTTACACAAAATAGTAAACCCTAAGGCGGATTCCCTTTCATGTAATGCTATTTTTTCTAAAGAGAATCTTCAGAAAAATCCTTTGAGTCACATCTACAACCTTGCAGCCCGAAGGGCATAAACCCCTTTCCTTGGCCGTCCCTTGCTTAAGTGCCCACTATTCTTTCTTCCCCAATAACTGGGGAAACTATGAAGATGAAAATAAGAAGTCAATCGTGGCCAACCAAACTTGTTACGACGAAACCAGTGAAGTATCGAGGTGTCAAGAGGACTGTGTGATTTTTCTTCTTGCTATGGTAGGCGTCTGAGCATAAAAAGTTGTGACACCCATCCTGGCGTTAGTATGGTCGAAGGTATTATGAGAGGACTTATACAATGACAAAATATTATAACACGCACGGAAGGACATCCCAAGTAAGATTTTGGAATGAGAAAAACAAAAAGTTTGAAGTTTGATCATTGATGACCGTAAGCCACTTATAAACTTGGTCTTCATGCTTCTTATCAAGCTTAGCAAGGAGGCCACTTGTACACCCACTACAAGAACACATTGGTTGTCGAATATTGTCAGCAGGATCCCCCCATAATGTCTTTAAATGATCGCATAATATACACAATAATAAATTGTGTAATATCATATCAGGGTTATCACTGAGGGATTAAAAGAAGTTGTTGTTAGGTTGCAGATGTTCTACTTTGGTAAGTAGGGTTATATAGCAAAAATAGTAGTCTCGAGAATATGGATGGAAACCATGCTAATATATGGATTCCATCCTAAATATCAACCTAAAATGAGTATATATCACTAGAACATATAAATTGGTCTGTATCTATATATGTTGTCGGTGTGGGATGACTTAACATGCCCCGATAAGATAGTGGCATGTTGGAGCAATCTAATCTTGAAGTTATGTGTTCAATCTGAGTCGATAGCTCATTTGAACCTAAAATGGCTCTGATACCAGGACACAAAAAATAATATTGTAAGTGAATTAAACATGTATGTACTGAGGTAGTGTACTAAGATGGATATTTACACCACACCACACACACATATAGTTTGGATCAAATAAAAAGGTCTTAACGTGTAAAATAAGAATTAATTTCAGTCATCCAAAGAGTCAATATGATGCACAATAAATCTTTTGTAATGGCCTTTTCCAATATTTACAAAAATGCAACCGTATCTAGATGTTAGAAATGTGCATCATATAAGGTTTATTCGAAAAGTGCATTAGATAGGGGTTACTGTTCAGATTGATAGTTTGAACGGTTGAGATTAATTGTTATTTTGCACGTTAAGATTTCTTTTTATTTGAACTCTCCCCAATATATATGTACATATGATCTTGAATCAAAGAAAAGATGTCTTAATGTGAGAAATAATAATACTTTTCGTGAAATGGATTTGAGTTATGATGGATCTATAGGTGCCAACAACGTTGCGATTTTTGTTAAAACACAATGACATTCATCATAAGTGAGTGTTTTTTCCACTGAAAAAAGTAGAGTATTTGATCCTAAAAGTGCATACTAGCTAAATAAAAGTGACTATTTCACATTTCTCACGTTAAGCAATCTTTTTATTTGAACCATACTCTACACACCCCACACACACACATAGAGAAATGATCCTGTCCAGCAGTCCCCGGTCCGAACACCGTCCAAGCATCGCAATTTGGGACACTTACCGGTGGAACTTTTTGATGAAATTTTTTAAGCATGTTTCTAATCAAGTCTAGTTTATCCATACCAAATTTCAGCTCAAAGTTCGATTGTCAAGGTAGTAAAAGCATTTTTTGAAGTTGACTGCTTTTTTATATGTATATTTTGGCGCAGTCAACTTCAAAAAATGATTTGACTGTTTTCCCAATCTAATTTTGATCTGAAATTTGGTATGGATAAACTAGACTTGATGGGGAAGATGCCCAAAAAATTTCATCAACAAATTACACCGGGAAGTGTCCCAAACGGCGGTGTTAGGATGACGTTCAGACCGGGGGCTGCTGGACAGGATCATTTCTCTCTCTCTCTCTCTCTATATATATATATATGCAGTGGTGTATCCAGGAATAGTTGTGAGTGGGGGCGAGTTCAAACTACTCCCTACGTCCCATAAAATTCTTCTCATTTATCTTTTTAAGATGTCCCAAAAAACTATTTTTTTCATTTCCCTTTTTGAAAATTTTTGTGTGGCTAACATTCGTTTACCCACTCAACCACAATCATTTTAATATAACTTTCTTAAAATTTGATCTAAGTCAAATCGAGAAGAAATTTATAAGACGGTGAGAGTATATATTATTTCAAGCATGTCACAAGCAGCTGAACACTTTAAAAAAATAGTACAAAACTCATTATAAATAAAAACTAATCGGTCAGCTAAAAAATATGAAATCATGCTTAATAAATTTGACACAAAAAATTATTTTTTTGATGTTATGTTAATAAGTAAATAACTTCAATATGAGACAGATAGTGTATGTATTTAGAAAATGTAAATTGTGAATGCAGAATTATATCTAAAAATGAATTTATGTCAAGTGTAAAATGTAATAATGAATTATTTATAACTCTAATAATTTAATGAAGTATAGATTAAAAATATAAATGTATGTACATATTGAGTCAATTTAAATTTGATTTATACTTAAAAAAGAAAATACAGAAGATAATGGATTGAAAACTAAAATTTGGAAAAAAAAATGGAGGAAGGATTCAAACCTTCAACCTAATGGAGGGACTATAAATGCACGCGGCTCCATTACCATCCCACTAGACTGCTCTTTGGTTACATATTTCGTAATTATTTTATATAGTATATATAATCAGCACAAAAATATATGTATAATTGAATTTTTACATAAATATATATGGGGGTTGGGTGGGGGTTGAGTGGGGGCAGCTGTCCCCCTGCCCCTACCCGATACGCCATGTATTTGGACCAAATGTATATATGGTACAATAAGAGTGGAGTATGATTAATATAGTAGATGCTCATTAAAATATATTAAATTTATTTTATCTTTTAATTGAGCGAAGCACAAAGTTGAATTGAAATCTATTAATGCAATCACCGTAAATAAATAGAGAAGGGCTCAATCCTATATTTGAAGTAAAACGTTGGATGTAAAACATAATTTTCACTTCATATATGTATTAATTTGGTGTGACTTTTGTAGGGGAAGGTGCCCATGGTGTCTTTGGAGGCATTACATCAACTACACATATTTATATTTGTTATGGCTCTTGTACATGTTTTCTTCTGTGCCATAACCATGCTACTAGGAGGTGCAAGGGTAATTCTTCATTATTACACTAAGTTATTATGCGATCAGTTCGTATCAGCCCGGTCTGACGGGAACCGCCGTCAGGACGGGACCATTTGGGGACCTTCCAGATGAAATTTTTTGATTAAAGTTTTTGAACATGTTCTTCATCAAGTCTAGTTTATTCATACCATATTTCAGCTAAATATTCAATCGGGAAAGCAATCAAATAATTTTTTTACAAAAACTGTGTTGTATATATATATATAAATTGCACAGTTTTCTTCAACAATTTATTTGACTGTCTTCCCGATTGAATTTTTAGCTGCACTTTGGTATGAATAAATTAGGCTTAATTAATAACATTATCAAAATATTTCATCAAAAAATTCCACCGGGAAGGGTCTCTGATATGGTCTCGGCCAGACGGCGAGTCCTGTCAAGCCTGCGTGACAGGATCGCTACCCAAGTTATTATTATGTCAACTTTTATAGAATTTCCTTTATTTTATTCTTTTCCCACAACTTGAGTTAGGTATATCATATAAATATTGGTCATACTCAATTAAGTTCCTATTTTAGTCCATAATCTTTGTACTACTACATTTCCAGCTATTTATGTGGACCGAAATAATTACCAAAGACTTACAGATATACTATATGATCATCCTTCATCGGAAGTAAAAACATACTCGTATATGCCATTTTGATGTCTTATAGTATATAGTGATATACCTCATCGCAAAAAAAAAGTATATAGTGATATACCTAATTTATTCTTTATTAATTAGTAACTACAATAACTTGACTTTCATGCTTACACATACAAACTTGACTATTAATATATTTAATTGATTATGAATATATGTTATAGACAACTATACCAGAATCCGGCAGTGAGAGTATAAGAGAATGCAAAGCTAATTAATAGAGAGAAATATGTGTTGCAATACATGATTTTCGAACTCTTATAATAATCTAAACTTGGGCTATTTGTAGTGGTAATAACTATTAAATGCATATAAAAATTAATGTGTTGGTAGATAAAATCAACTCAAAGTAGAGTATGTAAGTCAAATTATTGCAACAAATAAAGAATCAACATAGTTTATATAAGGTGTCCAATTCCATCTTCACATTTTTGTATATATTTGTGCCATATTTTAAGTTTAGATAATTACAAAAATTGCAGAGTTTGTTTAAGAAATGAAAACTTGCAGATTCAAAATTCTCATGATGAGATGTACTTGTGAGTTGTGATTAGAGGGTTCTCCTATGAATCCTCTCATGTGTGTGTTCATGATGAGGTAACTTATAATTACACACACTTTGCAAACACTTACACACATGTAAGTTACGGGGTGAGATCACATACAAATCATGCTTAACTTACTAATCTACAAACTCAATAATATGCAAAATTTTGAACTTCAATATGCAGTACAAATAATGTAAAGATGCACTCTTTGAATTGCAATATGCAATACAAATAATGTAAATATGAAACTGTTATTTTATATCTTGAATAATATGAAAGACTTTGAACTTCAATGTGCAATACAAATAATGTAAAGATGATTTGAATGGGAGGACTAGTTTGTATGTGATCCCACCCCTGCATCTTTACATTATTTTTAATACATATTGAAGTTCAAAGTGATGCATATTATTGAGTTTGTAGGTTAGTTAGTATTTTAAGCATGATTTGTATTTGATCTCTTATCTGTAAGTTACACATATACATATACATGTACATGTACATCTACATGTACATACACATACACATACACATACCACATACACATACACATACACACATACACATACACGTACACATACACGTACACATACACATATACATTACAATGACATTGGTCAACGCCTCACTCAAATTTAAAGTAAAAAGTAAAAAATGGATTGGAGTAGGCAAGATATTAAAGTTGGTGTAGGCTGGTTTAAAGAATTTTTTGATTCACATAAAAGTTTTACCCGTAAAATATTATGTATGTCCTGGCTGCCACTAACGACGCCCATGTACATCTAGATATATAATCATTTTCCCCCCTAAAATACTACTCTCTCCGTCCCAAATTGTAAGATATTTTACGGTTTACAATGTTTGACCGACGATAAAGCAAATTGATCTCTGTCAACACTCAAATTAGTTTTAGAAAATAAAATTTACATATTCAGAAACTACATTAAAACCGCTACAAAACCTGCAAAAAATAATTCAAATTTCATAAACTTTTGATATATAAAGTAAAAGATTAAGAGTGATTTATGTTTACCAAGTGAATAGTAAATGTATCTTACAATTTGGGACTGAGGGAGTACATAACTAAAATTTAAGTATAAAAATGTGCATGTAGTTACTGCAAGTACATATAGATACTTTAATGGTCATTTAAATGTAATAGTGTCATTTTTTCATTACGTTTTTTGTTCATTGTGTTTATATATGTGTGTGTGATTTTTTATTTGTATTTCTTAATGGATTTTTTTGTATAGGTAAGGCAATGGCGGCATTGGGAGAACTCGCGAAGAGCTATAGAAGAACAAGGTAAAACTATTTTGGCGAAATTCACAAAAATAATCTCTACTTTTAGGGATTCTACAATAATAGTTCACAAAAATTTGAATTCACTCCAATTTATTCTTATGGACACTATTGCTAGTTCGGATTATTTTTATAGACACTCTCAGTAGGGATTATTATTGTAGAATCCCTAAAAGTAGGGATTATTCTTATGAATTTCGCCAACTATTTTTAATTAATTTGTTTTTAATATGTCTTCTCTTTCAGCGATAATACTATGAATATTTAATCCCTTATTATTAACTATTATAAACCGTGTCTTCAATTAGTCAATGAAAGAGCAAGGAGCTATCGGAGAAAACATGTTGTTGTAAGTTGGTTGGTAAGTCAAATTGTTTATCTGCGTAAAATTGTATCTTATTTTAGTTACAAGCATGGACACAAATAGGATATGAGAACAGAGATGAAATTTCATTGTATTCTTCAAAATATAATTTATATGATTAGACATCATATAAATTAGATTCACACTGAAATTACTCTCTAGCAATCTCCCTTTAACAACAAGAAACTATATCGGAAACTTGAATTTTGTTTTTCATGTTGCTAAGTTATTTCATTTTCTCTATATTAAAGTATTAAATTTTATTCACATATATATTCCATAATTAAAACATGTGTGATTAATTTATATAAGGTTTTTTTTTCCAAATAAATTACTAAAATAAAACTAATTTACACAAATATGACTAATGGTTACTACAATGTACTGACATAGTAACTTAGGCTTCAAACTTGAGCATAAGTTACTATGATTCCATTACTGCTCTAGTCATTAATCACATTTTTGTAAACAACCTTAATTTTAGTTGTAATTTTTTCATGAAATAAAAGTAGAAATGATTAATGATTTTAATCAAAACGTGCTATATTTGCCGGAAATGATGTCAAATTCAAATCTTAGAATAGAGGAAGAGTTACCAACATCAGTAAAAGTAATCTCAAATTGACAAATAAGACTATAGGAGGTAGGAATACACTAGTTTGGTTGAATATAAAATGGAGCAAACTACCTGAATTTACTGAACAACGAAAACACAATCACTCATATAAGAATGTTTTTACTTGGACTGTAATTCCTCCCAGACCAGACCAGACCATATCAAATCAGACCAGACCAGACCAGATCAGACCAGACCAGATTTGGATAGTTATAAAAATACAAAGAAACCAGACCAGACCAGATTTGGATAGTTATAAAAATACAAAGAAACCAGACCAGACCAAACCAGATCAGACCAGACCAGACCAGCAAATTAGAGTCCAAGTAAAAACATCCTAATTCAAAAGTACATTTGTCCTGAATAAAAGAATACACTGTATTCACCAATTCCCACCAGCAATTGTCGATTACCGCCCCATGGATTTGCTACTACCATACTAATCATATCAATGTCATCTTAAAAATGAAATTATTACGTACAATATGACTGACATGATTGTAACTTGTTAGCTTCTACATGTAGGCAGTGATATAAAAATACGATTTAAGTAACGGATTATAAACTAGTTACAATTTGTGTGTGATTATGTAGTATATTCCATATGTGTCAATCATTGAATACTTTGAAAAGAGAAAATTCCTTAAATAAGAGTAAAATATATAGGGGATGTTTGGTTGCTAGTTTATCAACTATTTTTTGGTTGTTTTGACTATTAAATGGCTTTTTGATCATTTCAAACTACTATTTAGGTGTTTGGTGAATCAGCCTCTTCTATTAGCTTTTCATCTCAATCAGCCAAAAACCAAAACTCCAATTTTCCTAGCGTTTTCATTTGGCTATTTGAGTTTATTTATTAAAATACGGATTTGGCCTTGTTTTTAAATCATACTCCGTACGTAACTCTTGCACATAAGTCAAAGATCCTTTCTTTAATACGGAGTACTCCGTATATTTTATGCTTTAAATATTAATAACACTTGTTGACTTGTGCAGAATTTTCAGGAAAGAAAAACAGTCTTATGGGTTTTTTAATAATATCAATTCAACAATTTTGTTAGAAATTCTTTTAATATATAAAATACATTACTAAATGTACTTCAGTATAAGTGATGGCATTAAATTTAGCAAGATATGAATAAATACATTACAATTAAATTTATTTGTCCTTAGTATTTTTAAAACTTGGGGCCACATAAATCTGGGAGGCCTGCTTCAGATAACCTATTGAACCCCTAAAAATGGCTCTGGGTAACATTAATATTTAAATACATTTTTCATTTTTTACACAACTTTTCTTGGTATATAATCCTATCAAGTCTTGAAAACAATGTTTAAAATACTTATTACTTGTGTTAATACATTTTTATATATTTTTTGAAATCATAAATAGGGTTTAAGTAGTTGTACTAATTAAATTAATAAAAAATATAATTGATGTCCTTAAAAGTCATTTAACAAGTTATCAGCTAATTATAAGTAGTCATTTAACCAAACACCATCTTACAAACTGCTAATCCTACAAGCCGATCAAAACAGCCAACAGAACCTGTTGTCATCAATCAGCTAACACAATCCACCAACAGCTAACGGTCAACCGCCATTTACCAAACACCCCCATAGTAAATTTTCTCAAAAAGGATATCATTGTTTTCTTCTTTTAACTTTTTCCTGCAAATGACCATTGCTATTCATTATTTTAGTTCAAATTTGTTCTCCTTCTCTCCCCTCTTTGTAGGTGGCGTTTTTCAAACAATTCCATGATCCGGTAACTAAGTCCGATTACCTTTTACTGAGATCAGAATTCATAGAAGTAAGATCCTATCTTTTAATGGTGGAGTACTATTTTTTTTAATATTTCCTCTTACATTTTATTTTGGAATCATGCATTCATGCACTATAGTAGTATTACTAGTATTATAGTTTATATAATATCATTATCATGTATACAAACATTAATACACAATCCTATACTTATTGCAGGCCCATATTCAATCTAATCCTGATTTTAATTTTCACAAATATATGCTGAGAACGTTAGAACATGATTTCAAGAAAATTGTGGGAATTAGGTAATTATATCCCTACCTCATTTTGAACTCATTTTTATTATTAATAATAACACAATGCCACAAGCTAGCTTGGAGCAGTCTGTCTTTATAGTTATTATAAACATTGAATATCAATGGAATTTGACAGTTGGTACTTGTGGGTGTTCGTTGTTCTTTTCCTTCTGATCAACATTGCAGGTATGTAGATACTAAATACGTACTACTTTCATTCTAAATACACTTATGTCTTCAATTTCCTTGTCTGATGTAAAATTATTTCAAAAATACTTTTAAGTTTTGTATAGGAGAAACAATTAACTAGAACTAGAAATGAATTAATTAAAAGGGAAGTAATGAAGCTTTTGAGATAAAAATTGATAAAAGTTATAGGGGATGAAAGGATTAATCGAAAGAAGTAATTCATAACTTTAATTATGAATTATTTAAATCATTGTTAGATAAAGTGTGATAATTAAATTGCAGATTAATAGTTAAATTAATAGTTAATGCTAATAAGGGAAAAAATTGAGGTCGTTGAATTGTTGATCACTAAAATAATGGAGTGCTGTCTGATGCAAAACCCATGAGACACGCATGACTCAAATGAAGCTCTCTATATAAATATATAGTGGGATATGATTCAAATAAAAAGAGTTTAATATGGAAAATGTGAAATCTTCACTTTTATCTTTGGTACATTCAATTTTTAGAAATTAGTTCAAATAGGACTAATACTATGGCAAAAACCTAAAATAGGACTTGCTATGTTTTTATTCCAAAATAGGACCATATGAGTCCTATTGGAAACATACCTATTTTTGCATTCCATTCTTACCCTTCCATTAAATATGAATTAAAAATAGTCAAAAGTCATAATTAAATGTTTAATTCATAATAAATTCGAAAAAAATTCAAACATTCGTAGAAATATAATTAAAAAATTTATAAAATTTTTATAAAATAAAAAATTCAAAAACTTTTTTTTTTAAAATAATTTTATTTTAAAAAAAATTAATAAAAAATAGTAAAACTCCGTAAAAAATTTTTTAAAAAATATGGATGCCTTTCCCACCGCCTGTACTACCTCCTAGCACCACCACCTCCGGCCGATGAAAAAAATGCAATTTTCCCAGAAAAATGCCATTTTTTTCTGAAAATGCCAAAAAAGTGGCATATTTCTCTTTTCGAATACCAACATTTTCATTTTTTTCTGCCATAAATATGGCATTCGTAATGAACTTGGCATTTTTTTCCCCTGGTGACTGGAGGTGGTGGTGCTGAGGCGGCAGAGGCAGCGGCGATTTTTTTTTTTGAGTTTTTTTTTTTAATTTTTTTTTTAATTTTTTTAATTTTTTGAAAAAAAAAATAATTAAATTTTTAATATCGAAATGTTTTTCTTAATTTTTTAGTATTTTTTACGAATTTTTATTATTTTTTATTATTTTATTAGGAATTAAAACATTTTAATAGCTATAAGGGTATAATTGTCCAAGGTACACATAATTAGTCATATGCAAACATAGTTTATTTTTTGGTTCTATTTGTGAAAAGTGAATGACTTTTAGTCCTATTTTGATAATTAACTCTTCAATTTTTCATGGAAATAATACTTTCACTTATTTACAAAACGGTCATCACATTTTTAACTCATCTGTTGCATTGCTGACACATTCAGAGGCTTCAAGTCTCAAATTTGGTGCATGAAAGTTATTCTCATCTCTCACATTAAAATCACTTTTACTTGATCTAAATTATATATATGAGGCTTGTAGGTGTCATTACTTATACATTTGTATGTATGTATGTTAATGTAAACAAATTACAAGTAATATAATAACTATTTACGGGCATATGTGTTATGACAAACTTGCAGGATGGCATACTTATTTTTGGATGTCATTTTTGCCAATAACGGTAAATAACATTTGTTTTCTTTATTTTATTATTTGTTTGTAAATTGTACTTCTTTGGTTCCACTATAATTGTCTTATTTTTCCCTTTTCATTTGTCCCACTAAATTTGTCTCATACCATGTTTAGTAAAATTTGTGCTTCTCTAATTTTTTTTTTTACTTTATGAATTCATTATCAATCACATATAACTCGTTTTTTCTTAAAAACTGTACCACTCTCCTTTCTGCAATTCCTAATCTTAGATGGACGGAGATAGTAATTATTATAGCTAGATAACATATGTGAGCAATAGACAAATAATATAATTATTACTCTATATAATAATAATAATAATAATAATAATAATAATAATAACAACAACAACAACAACAATAACAATAACAACAACAACAACAACAATAATAATAATAATAATAATAATAATATAAAGATATAACTTTAAATCAAATAGTCACTCGGTCGCCTAAAACCTTGCAATCTGTGCATTTTTTTGTCAAATCAAGTTCAACTTTGACCAATTATATTTCTATAGGAAGTCATTTATAATATAAAAATGTTATGTAAATATATATTCTTTAAGTTGTTAAAAATTCTTTTATAAAAGTATAAAATATCCTTTGTACTCCCTCCGTCCCGATTGGACTTTATCAACTTTCATTGTTCCAAAAAACTTTGTTATTTTCTTATTAAAGCAAATAATTTGTTATTCTGTTCAATTCTCTGCTCTGCACAAAATTCAACCACACAACTTTTACTTTTTTTTATTTCTCACATACTTTGAACTTAACAAAGTTAACCTGGACAGAGGTAATATTCATGAAATATATACCTCACGTCAAGGGAGTGATTACACAAATCTTACCGGATGCACGAATATTATCTAAGTAGTTACTCCATATTTTTTTATATTTATTCCTTTACTTCAAAACAAAAATGCAATACATAGAAGTCTTTTTACAAAGTTTATCTGCAGTTTGAATTCAGTTACGCACTTTGTGGTACTTGAAAATGCAGTAATTCACGAAAATACAGTACTACATTTCTGGTGCATATGTTAAATATTTTGTAAAAATTAATTACTATGTACTCCATAGTATATTTCTACAAAACAAGTAGGCAGAATTAACTAAATCTGATGCTTGATAAGTGATAGTGTTGGGTAATTTCTGCAGCTTCTGCTTCTCGTGGGAACAAAACTAGAGCACATTATTACTGAGTTAGCCCAAGCTTTCGCAGAAAGAGAATCAAAGGACGCTTCTGATGAGTTGTTTTGGTTCAAAAGCCCAAAACTTGTGCTTCACCTAATTCACTTCATTCTGTTCCAGAACTCCTTTGAGATCGCATTCTTTTTCTGGATTGCGGTAAGCATGTTCTTAACGCATACTCCCTCCGTCCCCTTTTAATGTCCCATTTTACCATATTGGAATGTCCCTATTTAATTGTCTCATACCTTATTTGGTAAAGTTTGTGTGGCTCAAAATCATTCTTACTTTATTCTTACTTTATTCTTACTTTATCTATTAATATCAACCACACAAACCTACTTTTCTTAAAACTCGTGTCACCCTCTTCCAGTACATTTAAAAAGGGACGGAGGGAGTACATAGTAGTGGAAACAAAAGGATAAATTATGTTTTCATTCCACCAAATTTAGTGTTGTTATTGGTTGTCAAACATAAATTGTTAAAATATTTGTCTCCACGCTTTATTCATATAAAATAAAAAAGTAATGTGATATCAAAGTCATATCCGGTTGTGATTCATTTCGTGTGGCAGCGAGTCGTGGCACTCATTATTTAGACTAAGCCTGCTTAGAGTCTATTTGACTCGTTTATCCACCACTCATGTTATCTAGTCCGATTTGAACCAGGCCCGTTTCATAATAGACTCTAAGGAGGTTACTCTAGTCTTTGATAATAATTAATGTTGTTGTCCCACACCCGTTATCTCTTTAACAATTAAACGCTATATTAAGATTTGGATCCCTCCAGGTTGACATTTTAGGATAGAACCTCAGGCCTTAACATAGTAGTAGAATCAAATTGATCCATGGTGTGGGCCCTATGAAAAATGATTGACGACACAATCTAGACGAAGTGTCTGATCGTGAGAAGTTGTCTCACACCGACTATCTCTTTAACAATTAAACGTTAAGATTTGAACCCTCTTTAGGATGAAATTTTTTCTTCACAAATAACTATGACTTTCAAGGACTAACAAATTGTCATTTTAATTTGCAGTCTACGTACGGCTTTAGATCATGCATCATGGAAAGATTGGGTTTCACTATCCCGAAGCTTGTAATGGGGTAATTTTTAATACTTCAATTCTCATATGTACTAACCAACCTTTAAGTCCTTTACTTCGACCAAAATAGTTTTTAGCAGGTAGAGCCAAAACTTACCATTATACTAGTAGTTTTTACCAGCCGACTACATTGATTTGAGGCTTTCTTATAGTTTCATTCTTATATGGAATAATATTGGAATTCAATGTAGGTTGATTGTTCAAGTTCTCTGCAGCTACAGCACATTCCCTTTATATGCTTTAGTTACCCAGGTAAATTTTGAAACTTTATACCATTTGGATGCAATAGATAAAATGAAATAATGACAAATATGTGACTAAAATAAAGATAATGGATAAAAGTGTGACGGAAACCCGAAGTGTGACTTTTTATACGTACTTTAATAACCGTAAAAATATGGTTTTCTAAAAAAACAATAAGAGTAATTTTGGTGACTATTATTATGTTCAATTTTATACTATATTACCATTATGGTATACTCACAGGAACTTCAAACACATCTTCATCTATATATGCTTCATTTTAGTGATATTTAAGAAAACCCCAAAAAATAAATACATTCACAAACGAAATAGGCATATCCCTTTTTAGTAGTTGAAAAATAAAAAGATGCAAAAACAAAAATAGACATATTCCTATTTACTTCTATTTAGGGAATTCTAACCTATGTAGGAGTAAATATAAACAAAAACTATGTGTAAACCAGTTTTCATATTTACAATTTCACTTCAAAAACCTAGTGTGTTTTATCCGTATCAGGTTTGTCCCCCTATTCCTAAATAGTGCCAAAATGGACCTGGCAACAGCTTAAAAAATGAAAAATGTGTGAATAAGACTAATTAAAAATAGAGAAAAACAGTGGAGAAGATATTGCTTTTATTAAAAGAAAAAGGAAAATAAATTTGAGGAAGATAAAAAATATATGAATTATTTAGAGACACTAACTTTTAAGGAATTTCCCTATATTAGTATATATTACCTCCGTCTCACGTTGGTTGTCTTGTTTTAATTTGACATAATTATTACTCCGTAATAAATTGGTTGGAAAGTAAAAGATATGCTAAGATTTGAGTAGAATAAAGTTAAATGATGATCACACATTTGTTGTCAAAAAAAACCTAACATTCATTTTGGACAATTCAAAAATGAAAGTATAACAACAAAAATGGGACGAAGGAAGTAGAATTTTAGTGGGTGACTTCATCTTTATTATCCTTCATTTTTATGATGGATGGTCCCAATATCCATTATCAAAATGAGTGGCAATAAAGATGACATATAAGGATGTAACCCCACACAATGACTATACACCCTCGAAAAACGACGTGTGTAGAAATCAAAATTGAACATATATCAAGAGAAATACTCTTCAGCTAGATTCTATAAAAAAATAGATAAATAAGTGGCTTCATCTTCCAAAAAAAGTGGCTTCATTATTACTCTCTATTTATGTGGTGATAATAAATAGTGATGAAGCTAAACAAACTTCTAAAAATTTTAATTGTCCTTTGTATGCATTATTATGAGAGCGTTTGTATCCACTTCTTAAAACTGTATGTCGTCCTCCTTCAGGGAGCATAAACAGATATTGAAGTGTTTGAGCGAAAGGGAATAAGTACTTAGCTTCTAATGCTCCAAATTCTCCTAGAATCAGTTTTTGAGAAGTCGATTAAAGTAACTTCTGAAAAATTGAATCTGGTTCTACTTATACTCTTAAAAAAGAAGAAAAATCTATTCCAAACACCCTATAAATACAGAGTATATTGCACTGATTTTTCGTTTCCATTTTTTCTTCAAAACAACTTACCAAATTTGCATCAATTTTATTTTTTAAATACAGATGGGGAGTAGTTTTAAACAAGGGATGTTCGACCAACACACACACGCAGCTCTCGTTGACTGGGCCCAAGGATCAAAAACGGGTTCAACGGCCCGTTTAAGAACACTCCCATTTGAAGGCATTGCTGTATCTGAAAGGCCCGCAATCCGAAAAGGACCCCCATCAACAATTCCGTTCTCTCGTTATCCTCATCATATATAATACTCCCAAAACTTAAATTTGTATTAGTTCTTTGTTCTTAAGCGTCTAATTACAAATTACTGAAGCTAATATCAAGCCTTAGGGAGAAAATTAATAAAGCATGAATTCGCATGTTTTCCTCAGAACTTGTTTGTCTCAATGTTCTCTTGGCATATGTGTAAGAATTTCTATAATTGGAGTGTTTGGGTAAAAGTGCAGAAGTGATTCTGGTGTTCTAATTTACTTCTAGAATCAGTTTTTTTAGAAGCTGGAGGGTGACCAGCTTCTGAAAACTGATTCTGATTCTGCTTCTGCTTTAAAAAATAAGCAGAATCAAAATCGGTTCCAAACACTCAACGACACCAACTACGGAGTATACCTAATGAATTAACACTGTAGATATGAATTGCCCGAGGGTGACAAGAGTTTCAGATTGAGTCCTAACTCCTACGGAGTAAGTGTATAAAAATATTAAATGGAAAATTCTAATTATGCATCAAAAATTGAGTTTCATGTTTAGATACATTTTATATAAGGATTAGAATCCATAGTTGAAAAAATGCATGCAAAGTGATGTATAAAAGTGGCAAATTTAATTATGCTATTTAAAGGGAAAAAAACTCATCATTATTTATAAAATAATATCGAAGTATATGACAACGAACATAGTTCAAAGTATGATAATGTATGATTTTTTAAAATTAGTGGAGGTTTTTAGTCACAATATGGGGGTTCGTGAAATCTGAAAAGATTTATTATGCTAAAATGAATCAATTAATTTTGCACGTAGAGGAATAGCTGGCTTGATAGAACATAATAACTGCTCCGTATTATTTTTGACAAAAAGAGAACACTATTATGATTATTATTTGACAAAAAGAGGACATAATTATTATTAGAAATAATTATATATATGACTCAAATAAAGATCGTTTACAAAAATGTGACTACTGACTACAGTAGTAACTAAATCATACGGAGTAGTAAGTTATGTTCAATATTTAAATTTAAGTGACCATAACACTGTATTGTAGTAACTACTAGTCATATTTGTGTAAATACATTTTATTTTAGTCATTGGTTTTTAAAAAAGTCCCTACGAAATGATTGGTCAAGTTCATTTTATGATCCAACTATTTCGGATAATCAATCTTTCTCTTCTACTCCGTATTTTGTATTTATATGTACTTTTGTTAGTTTATTTATTCGCGTATAGTTCACCAATAATTCACGATTTATATTTCTATTTATGAACCGTATAAAAATAAAAAAAATTATGTATTTTAACGATAAAATGTACAATTCACGTACCGTATGTATTCATAATTTTTTATTCAAAAATCAGTCGGTTACACTCAAGCCAAACTAGAATTGCATGCACAACTAAAGTGAAGTGTCATACATATTGTATATTTGTATTGGTACATATTGTCTTATGGGACGGTGTATAGGGAGAGTCAAGTGTGAGATCAATCAATGTATATATCAAACGCGTAAGCTAGTCAAACAGATGTTTGTTTCAAGAGAATGACTCAAAAGCAATAAAAATATTACTTTCATCCCACTAACATTTGGACATGAGGAGATGGTACAGACTAAGAAGAGTGAGCTAATATGATTAACATTGAATTAATAAAGTTAGAATTAAGTAAGAATGATAATCATAAAAACTTTACTAATTTTAGTTTAAGACAATTTTAGTGGGACAGACCGAAAAGGAAATATGAGACAATCTTAACGGGGCGGATGAAGTATATGAACAATTAAACTAGAAGGGAAACAATGCATATAAGAAACAACCATATGCTTGAGAATAAAGAGTCAAATAGGGATCTTGAGAAAGTAATAATGTAACAAAAGGAATATGTACAAGTCACCTATGGAGATGGCTGATCAACCCTCTTCTCCCACCCTGATAGCTGGTAAAACCGAAATGCTAGAATTATTTTGTCGTTTTCTTTAAGAAATTCTTTTTACATTACCCCTTATTTTAGGAGCAAGTTCAGCAGTGCTGTTAGATTAGTCCACATATTTGCGGGGTTAGCGAATATGATATGTTCTTGAGGGATAATCGATTCTCTGTCTCAAAGCACAGTGTAGTCTTGAGCTATTGTATTGATTTACCTCTTGTTTGATACGTTCAAATCTAATCTAAATTCTAAAATAATAGATATTAGTTTGATATATTTTATTATTATTGAAAACATACGAAATATCAATTAGAAAAAGGCGTTATTTGTGGGTCCACCCCGAGGCCTTGGCGCAATGATGGACTATCATTGGTTGATTTGATCACTATTTACCTTTTTGATCAGATAAACAGCTAATTGAAGTGTTTGGTTAGTTGGTTTTTTCACTTGGCTTTTTGTCCAAAACAGCCAAAGTGAAAAAGGCTGATAAATTAAGTGTTTAACTACTGGCCGTTTGAGTATTTTGCCTATATTCCTATTCTGCCCAAGGTTGTGTCCTCTTCTTCGTGCGTCACTTCTCCTCTTCCGCTAAAAATAAAAAAAGAAGAGCATTGAAGGCTGGGTGATTACACACGAAGGCCGTCCCCTGAACTCTAAGGAGGCGGTTACTTCGCTCCTAAAGTCACAATTAGGTTAGTAAGAGATGAAGTAAACACGCAAGTTGCTTAAAAATCCGTTTACTAACCGAAAGAGGTGTTTAAAATGTCGCTTACTAAGCATACCTCTCGATGCATTAATTAAGCGGCACTTTAAGCTTTTTTCAGTTTCCGAATTTACCCTTACCCTTACTCCTCGCTCTTACCCTATTGTTACCCTCTACCCCACCCCCACGTCCTACCCCCTAACTCTACCTTATCTTGACCCACCCACCCACCCACCCACCCCCTTTTACCCTAACCCTTACCACCCCCTTTTACCTCTACCCTACCCCTACCCCCACTTGTACCCCTTACCTCAACCCTACCCTTTTACCCACTACCACATGCCCCTACCTCGACCCCGACCCCACCCCACTACCCCCCTTCTGACCATACCTTACCCTACCCCTACCACCTGCCCCTACCTCGACCCCACCCTGACCCGACCATACCCCTTACCCTACCTCACCCCTACCCCCTACCACCCGCCCTAACCCCTTACTCGTACCCTACCCCTACCGTACCCCTAGCTGTTACCACCCCTACCCCTAACCCAACCCTACCACCTGCCCCTACCTCGACCCCACCCCACCCCGACCCTGGTCCCCCACCCCCACCCTTACTCGTGCTCCTACCCCTACTCCACACCCTACCCCTACCTAGGGGGTGGGGGGTAAAGGGTTGGGGGTATGAGTACGTGTACCAGGTGACGCCCACGTATTATATTATATACTTGTGTTCATGTGTGTTTCTATGTCTATGTATGTATAAGGCTATTTTGGACATTTTAATGTTAAACGGTGTTTTAAATCTTTTGAAGTAAACATGAGCTTACAACACCGCTTATTTTATGCAACACTTATTAACGCGAGTCTTAATAAACATTGTTTAGTAACCCGTGAAGTACGTAAACGCGTCCTAAGTCCAACTTGAGAATATAAAGATTGGTTATGTATGTAATTTCCTCTAGCTAATGCATATGAATCACCATAACAATCTAGAGTGAAAACACTCCACAATTCTTGGTGCATCAACTTATAACAGATTCAACAAAAAATGTTAAAATATCTACTCCCTCCGTTCCATAAAATTTTTCTTACTTTCCTTTTTAGATCGTCCCAAAAAATATTCCCACTTACCATTTTTGGACAATTTATGTGGTTCACATTCGTTTCACATTTTTCTTACATAACTACAACCACACATTTTCACTTTATTGCACTTTCTTAATATTCGTGTTAAGTCAAAGTGAAAAGAATTTTGTGGGAGGGAGGTAGTATTACTTTTTTCATTAATTTTTAAATTATAATATAATATTTAAGCGATTGTACTAATAATATTAACACAAAAATTAATTGATGTCCTACAAAATCATTTAAACAAATCGTTCAACCAAACCCTATTTCATAAAGAACTAACTTTATGGGCTAATAATCCGCTATATCAATGGGCAAACCAACGACCAACGTAATCCTCCACGCCTAACGGCCAATTGCCAAACACCCAACACACCGTTAGTTTTGACATTTAGACGCTAGTCCGGTTGCATTTCCTCCCTTAAAATTCTCCGACTAGTAACTGAGACTTCGATGGCTACGAAGACGACAATGATAACATCGCCTTCTCTAAAAGTTCATACGAGCTCTAATTCTTTGGGTGCAAGAAGGTTTCAAATCCCTTTTCGTTCCGCTTCACTTTCTTCCAACAAGATTTTTTCTTCCGTGATTCGTTTCCGAAAATCATCGGAACTAAATCGAGCTTCGGTCAAATCCTTGTCCAATCCTCCCACGATTTTATCTGAAGACGTTGGTGAGGTGATTGGAGAAATCAGTATACTTCGTCCTACGGGTGAAGCAGTAAAGTTTAAGCAGCTCTGGGATCAAGAAGAGGTGAATTAGATTTTTTTTCCTTTCCATTTCTTGATTTAGCTTAAATCCTTCAAATTTCTTATTCTCTTCATGCTATTATTATACTTATTCTCCTTCTTATATAAATATTCGGATTCCAGGGAGTAGCCGTTGTAGCACTTCTGAGGCATTTTGGTTGCGTTTGCTGGTAACTCTATCCTCTTCGCCCTTCTTCTTCTCATTGTCTTTTTTCCTTCTCTAGGAACTTTTATTCAAATGATTGTTAGCTAAAGAATTTAAGAGCTCTTCACATTTTTATGAATTGTCAGCTGGGAACTTGCAGCAGCACTCAGAGATTCCAAAGGAAGATTTGATTCTGCGGCCGTGAAGCTGATTGCTGTTGGTATTGGGTCGCCAAGAAATGCCCAGATTTTTTCTGGAAGGGTATTTCCATTCATTTTTCTATTTTCAATACTACTTAGGGCTGTTACCTAGCTAAGTAGCTAGTCTAAATGTCGGTTTGCAAACACTTAAAGCACATAAAGCGTTTTTTACTTTTTCTATTACACATAAAGCACATATTTTACCAAACACTGCCGACTTTTACTTTTCAAAATACTTTTTTCTCAAACACTATCAACTTTTACAACTTTTACTATTAATCACTTTTTTCAAAATCACATTAGAAAGTGCTTTTTTTAAAGCAAAAGCATTCACAAACACTCCCTAAATACCCTAGTGTTCGAGCTTACAGGAGCAGGGCTATCATTGAGGCGTCCAACTGCGTTTCACTATAGATCTTCAATTGGCGCCTCTTTAGGTCCCTTATTCTCCGACGTGCCCATTTCCGTTATATCCCATAACCCCTTAGGTTCATTAAGTTACCTCTGTGAAGATAAGAGTGCTGTTTGAGACTTGTTAATATAGTTAGCATCTATATACTCGTTATAACAAACTTTAACTGTATTAACAGTTTCATACTCTTGTATAAATACCCATGTACACAGACCATTATGGAGTATGTTCCATTTTTCTCATTCACATATCAATGTTACTTCTTCTTCATATCTGTTTTCAAACATCTCCACGTGGTATCAGAGCCATTCATGGCTTCTGAGGACCGAATCACCAAATTCCGCACTACATACCATTTCCGCCATTAAAGTCAAGCAGTAAAAGCTTGAAATCTACTCCCTCTAAACAAATTTGTCTTCAACAAATCTATTATTGTTATAGCACTAGTTGTTGGCGAGATTGTGAATCAAATATGATTCGGATTTACAAAATTCAAAATGTCATACTCGGAAAATTCAGTTCATGATCAACAATTTTCTAGTCATGGATTGTACAAGGATCCTTACTACCTTGCTCCTGGTGATAGCTCATCCAATAGTATTACAGCTGAGAAGTTTGATGGAAACAACTACTTGAACTGGTCAAAGGGAGTTAAAATGGCGTTAATCTCCAAAAACAAGCTTGGATTTATCACAGGTAAAATCAAACAACCTGAAGAAGATGATGACGAATGATGACGAATACCAGGACTGGATGAGAATAGACTATACGGTCTTATGCTGGATTATGCACTCAATGATACCGCTCATGGCTAAATCCATGATGTATGTAACTTCATCCAAACAGCTTTGGGATGAACTCCGAAAGATATAGCCAAACTAATGCGCCCTATCTCTAAGACAGATGGGGTCTTTAGGGTGTGAGAGTGGGCACATTAGGGTATGCCCACATGGGTTACTTAGAAGGACTTGGAAAATAAGAAATTGGGTCGAACTCAATGATTTATTTTTTGTAATTTTTCAAGCTCAGTTTATATATTTATAAATATATGTTAACTTAAAGGGTAGTCTTGGGAGCAGCTTGTTAAAAAATTGACAGGGGAAGACTTTGGTGGGACCCTTCCGCAGATCCTCACCTTGAGGAGACGCCTTCATGCACCGGGCTGCCCGTTATAAATACTCCCTCCATCCTTCAATTAAAGTCACAGTTTGACTTTACGGTCTTCTAGCCTTCTAGGTAGACGTTTGACCATGATTATCTAAAATATATACCTATATAATCTATGATAAATTAACATTTGAATAATTCATATTATAATGAAGCACATAAAATTAATTTTATGTGATAAAATATTGTTTGAGACTAAGGCTTGGATGTTGTTGATAAAATATAGTTAATTTTAGTCATTAACAGTCAAAGTTTAAGAAGTTGGACTCAAAAGTCAAACTGAGACTTGAATTGAGAGACGGAAGTAGTATATGTTAACATTTTATTTCTTGAGCATTTATCTCTTTTTTCTAGCATTATCCAAGGGACACTTACCCTAACAGAAACTTGACCATATTGAAAGGCAAGAACACGTAAACCTTGGAAAACATCACACCTTCAGGCAGATATTTACTATCAGAATTTAGAGGGTTAGCTTCAAGAGGAGAAGAGAGAAGCATGCTAGCGAATACTAGATTTGCTTGAGGTGCTGCTTCGAGAGGATTACTCTGCTTCCTTTATTTTTTCTGAGAACCCATCAACTTGTCGTACTCATCTTGTGAGAGAGTTAGAGAGCCAGTTTGCTCATTCTATACTTACCAACCAATCGATGAGCTTGTTTTCTATTGAGAAGCATGTCATTGTGTCACTCACTTTTGATTATAATTATAATTAGGGAAAGAACCATACCATAAGTTCATCCCAGAGCTATTTCAACTATTTAAAGACTCTCACAGACAATCAGATGCTCTTGTTGCATACCTTAATGTGATAATCTTCCCTTTTACATTAAGAGCCCGTTTGGTAACCCTGTTTTTCGGCTTATCAGCCAACTTTTTTACCAAACACGTAACTTTTGATTTCGCGCGCTGAATAGTGTAATAATCAAAATAAGTAAGGTCGGGGTTACTTTTCTAGCTGCATTGGCTGAAGTTATTGTAGATGACGATTTTAGCTATTTTTCATATAATTTTTTATTTCTTTTATTAATGAAAAGTATTTTAAATATAATTTTTTTAAAATCAAAAGAATCAGCCGATACAACCACTTCAGCCAGATTTTCATAAATTTCAGCAGAATCAGCCGATTCAGCCAATTTCAGTGTTACCAAACGGGCACTAAACATTCAGTTAAAAAGCCGTGGCTAAACATCTCTTCTAGATCTTTCCACACGCCATGGCTAAACCTCTCTTCAATACCCTTTATTCAGTAATGCATCCATATATGCAATATGTTCTTTACTAATTACTAGTAACGGCCTAAAGTTGTGAAATCAAAGCCATTTCAAATACGAATAGTAATTGGGCTTCCCACATGATTAGAAGCCAGCCTTGTACTTCACTTACAAGATATGCTGAATTGCTGATAGACAATAATCTTTATGATGCTTGTTTTTGTTTGTTAGTGTCATGAAATCTTAGAGGAATCAGAACTGATATGCGTCTTCTTGGCTTGGATGAGAGTATGGCTTTGGAGAGAGCAAAGTGGAGGGCGCACATCCGTGTGGACGATTGATGTCTTTTCTACCTTTCCTCTTTTTTCTTTTATCGTTTATCTTCCTTACCTTTTTATATTCTTATGTTATTTTTATCCTCTAGCTTTTTTATGCTCTTTTATTTTTGATCTTTTATCTTTCTTATATTCTTGTGTTATTGTTATCTTATATTTATTTATCTTTATTTTATTCATTTTATGTTACTTTTTTTTTCTTCTGTTTCTTGTCCATCTTCTCTTTTTGGCATCGATATCATAGACCGATTCATGTTAGCCAACCTCAAATTCTTTTGGGATTAAGGCTTGGGTGTTGTTGTTGTAGTGTCATGAAATCTTAAAATCAAAAGCTTATAAATGCATGAATGAAAACTGCTTTGTTAATATTTGTAATATCTAAAGATGGTTATCATGTGGTAATTTTTTTCTTTTAATTTAGACTGAGAACAGATAGTCATACTGCAGTGCGTCATTATCTCATTTTTTTTGTTCTAAATAATTTGCCCATTTTATTTGTGTTCAGTTGCCTTTCCCGTGGGAGTGTCTGTATGCTGATCCTGATCGCAAGGTGAGACCATTTTTCTCTTGCTACATGCAGAGTATGTAATCTGATCTTTGCATTATATGGCTCTTCTGACTCTTTTCTTGGAAGATAGGCTTATAATGCTCTAGGCTTGTACTATGGGATCGGCCGCACATTTTTCAACCCAGCCAGTGTACTCACGTCATTTCTCCCTTTTTAGTAATCTAAAGATCTTCATGAACATGTTCTATATGGTATTTACCCAGTTTATTTCCCGCCTTTCTGTACATGTGGCAGGCTAAAATATTTTCTAGATTCAATGAATTACGAGAAGCAAACAAAAACTACACTATTGAAGTCACCCCAGATGATAAAAGCAGTGTTCTGCAACAGGTTTGGTTTCTGATCCGGGTCTTCCTCGGCAGTAACTCCATGGTGGTGTTACATGGACGATCCAGATTGATTTAGAGTAACCTTTCACATCATTTAGATCACAATGGATCGTCCATTTAGTAACTTTACATTGGAGTTTGCTGCATACAATCAGTTTCCTTTAATATTGTCCTCAATTGAAGTACATGCTTTGAGATGCCAAAAATACTTGAGAGAGCAAAACTGTCATCTTTTCAGGGAGGAATGTTTGTGTTTAAAGGGAAGCAACTGGTATATGCACGGAAGGATGAAGGGACTGGTGATCATGCCCCTTTGGATGATGTTTTTAAGGTCTGCCACGAAGTTAGTTGATTGTAAGGAATGTCTGCTAGAGTTTATCCATTATTGTTCTTCTAGTATAATACTTAATAATAATACTCCTATACCTGAAAAACTCACTTTTAACTAGTCATTTGTAAATAGCAAGGTTTGGGTTCTCCTAGCTTGTATATTCAGGATACATTCTCACCTCGGATGCGCTTGTAATTGTTCCGCAGGACATAAGAAAACTGAGACGAGATTGAAAATCCACTAGCAATAGTAAATGTCATTTGCATGAATAATTACGACAGAATGATGAATTGAGATAATTTTGCCAAGTATCATATCTGATTTTTGGGATGTAACCTCTAATGGAAACTTGATTTGCCAAACAGCTGTTTTAGAGTATTATGTTACTCCCAATCAAGGACAATAGAAAGTAACGACGGCATAAAAGTTGAGACTTCAAACTTCTAGGCGGGTCTAGTACCCGAATCCGCCCCAACCCCGTTTTTGTGTCTTCCGCTTCCACTTCCTACATTCGGTGTAGCTTGGTAGCTTCCCCATCTACCACTCTGGCCACCACCCTATTTCTGTCAGCTAAACCCTTATCTTCTTCCTCTGCTTTCAGAACCGTACTCACGCTTTCCATCCTTCCTCCCAAAACATTATTGGAAATAAGGTGTTGTAGGATGAATTCATCACTTTCTGTGGCTCTCACTGGCCAGCACAAATCATAGTGTCGTTGCTGCCACCTCCGTTGCAATCCCAATTCCAACAACGATGAAGCAGAATGATGACCAGTACTAACCTTAACAAGAGGCAAGAAGACTGCACCGATGTATTTGTTAATGATGGAAAAGTAAGGTTGCAAATGATTTTCGATCTGTCTGATTTACTTTTTCACATATATTTTTGTTCAGTTTATATGTAACTATTTCATATTTAGCAAATTCAATATGTCGAATCTTAAACATAAATTAAAACTAAGAATCCATGAATATCTATTTGCATTATTTTTGGAAAGAGTTAAGCACATGATTTGGAAGCGATCCAAATCTTATAATTTTCCATGAAGTTTTCCATCTTAGAAAGCACCCTTCCATGAAGTTTTTAATAGACTTCTTCCTTAAATAGGACCACAAAATAGTGAGATGAAAAGGCTTCTACCATGTATCTTCTTATTTTAAAAATTGTCTTGCTTCGGTTCATTAAGCATATCACAAATAGTAGCTATGGTGATATGGTCACTGAGAACATCCTCACTTCTTCACTCTGTGTTAACTGTAAACGTAGTCAACATTGCGTTATCATCATCTATGCCAAATCTGATTTACGAATGGTGTGTATTAGTTGAAGCATCTAATGATTAATGATGTGAATCATAATTATTGAAGTGCAAATTTTTAGACATTTTGAACATTGATACCTCCTGATTATGTAAGACAAATCTGAAAAAAAAAATTATTCTAATTAATTGGATTCTATAGTGCAGTAAGATAAAATGTGTACATTAAGAAAGAATTTGAGGTATGCTAGGTATAGTAAATGGTTGAGTTTTTTATATGTTAAGAATCTATAATGATCTGGTGATAAAGTGCAGTAAGATAACATTTTTCTTTTATGATATCAGAAGTCTGTTGTAAGGAATAGGAACTAAAGGTATTATTTGTTAGATTAGGAACTAAAGTGCATATGACAGTACCTCCACATAGTCATGCTTTTAATTTGTTTTGGTAATGCAGAAATGAATATTACAGCACTTCCAGCTCTTCAATTCCATCCGGTCTTGAATGATATGATACCGCCTCCTTCTTCCGCTATTCCACATGATCAGCTACCTACGGCTGAACATGTGGTCATGGAATTGAAACATCTAGGATCTGTAATCCAGGAACACCAAAGAGGGCTGGATATCATATCAACTGAGGAGCTTGCTGAGCGTATATGCCTCAATCATAGGATTGTTTCTAGGTTTTCTCAAACTGGATGAGATGTTGTGACAATAGCGCAACAAATGCAAGGTCAAATGCAACAAATGCAAGGTCAAATGCAACAAATGCAAGGTTAAATTGGACAAATTCAAGTCCAAATCGGACAGATTCAAGGACATATCAATGCACTTACAGACAAATTACAGCGCTCACTGCCTTGGTGACAGCTCAAAATGGCCAATTGAACGCGATTGCAGGACAAATAACTGGCCAAGGACAACAAATTGAGCTTCTAAGTGTAAGGTTGGACGCATCTGCTGCCCGTGCTCACAATTCAGCAAACACGTCAAATGCTCTAAACCTTCTTCGTCCAATAGTGAAAACTATTCCCAACCATCCCGACCCACAACCACATCCAGCTTTCCACTTCAATGAAAACTCATATGCAATTGGTACACCACCCCTGGATGGACTTGTTCCACACACTTTTGAAGCCATTGATGCCATTGATAGTCATAACCAGTTTGATGCAGTATATTGGTTTTATAACGATGCAAAACTTGCAAGAGGAGACAAAAACTTGATCCAATGACGATTTGCACTTGCAACATTTATGAAGAGCTAGGTTATTATTTTTGTCCATTTTTATTCTTCATGATTTTTATCAGTTACCCTTGGTTCCAAAGTTTACCTGAGGTGCATCTTTATACAAAATTCTATGTACTTAACATTATGGGCATGCATGATTGCATTTTATTATGCAATGCTCTGAGCACTTGGGTTAGGGTTTCTCAACAGGAGCATAGGCTGTGGGGCAAATCCCAAAAAAGAATAGGCAGTCAAGGCAGGGAAGTATAGGGTATGTTTTGGAGTTTAGTTTTGGGGGGGGGGGGGGGGGGGTTGAGTTGGTGGCCTCGGGGTCGTTTGTTCATTTGTTCAATTAAATAAAAGAACTATATATGGTTTATTGTCATAAATAAATAAATAACGACATTGAGTTTATGCTATTCTAAAACAAAATGGAAAGTAACCCCACCACTCTCTTTCCGCAAAACCTGAAACTCCCAAGGACACCCTTAGGTGGCGTTTAGTTCACGGAATGTAAGATTACTGTATATAAATGTGATTGCCTCCAGGAGTGTAAGATTATCTAAGTAATAGGATTATTTAGGGAATGTTAAGTTACAAGAATGTAAAATTACATGGTGGGTTTGGTTGAGATAACATTAGTGTCTTGGATGCTGACCTGTGGCAACAATGTTGTTACTTATCATGCCAGAGATGTGGTGAAATGTTATCTGGCCCTCAAAGCTAGTGACTTATTTGTTTATCATTTTCAAGATTGCATTCATCTTGTGATTTTTCTTGTACATGCAGGTCCAGATGGCCTTTTCGAGGTGAAGCACCATTGATTGTTGCCCCTGTCATTGTGAAAACAAGGAAATGTTTGTTGGAAATTGCTTCTAAGATCTTGTATCTCGTTCAGTATTGTTGCTCAAGTTTTTATTTTCCTGATTTTTATGTTACTTAACATTAGGAAATATTGACATAACAGTTTGGAATATAATTTCTCCCACAACTCCAACTTTCAGAACTATACTTCAAGCAAAATGCTGAAGAAAATTTCTGACTTGATTTGGTCATTTGGCTTAACTTTTTTTTTTGGTACTTTATGCTTTTCCTTTTAAATTGTTGTATGATCCTAAATAAATAAGTACAACGTATTAGAACTAAGAGGATCTTCAATGCATTCAAGTCTAGTCCAAATAAAGTGTGACATATCATCAATTTGAACATTGTTCATTTAATTTCCTCCCCAATGCATTTAGTCCTCCATTCAATTTTGATGATTTGACAAAAAAAGTTAGACACTGGATTTAAATGTTCGGGTGTAGACACTATGGAACTAGGCATGGACTCGGGCCGGGCCTCGGTTCGGTTCGGATTGGGCTTTTTTTGGAAAAAGTTAGGCCAGGAAACTGGCCCGGGTTGCTCCGAGCCTGGTTCGGACCAGTTCATTCTGTGGTTCACGGGCCGGCCCAGGCTGGGCCGGTTCATCATATTTTTTTTGATTTCTAATTCCTTCCTACCCCCCAATAAGGGTGGATTTGGTTCGGGCCACCCGGCCCGTGACCGGCCCAGCCCGCTATTGTGTGTGACCCGGCTCGGGGTGGGGTAAAAAAACTATAAATACTCCTAATGTTTATCATTTTTCCATATCTCTTTTCCAACTCTTCCTAAGTCCTACTTTCTCTAATTATCTTCATCTTCTCAAATTCTCTTATTCTCCAATATACTTCCTCCGTCCCAATTTGATTTGTAAAATTTCCTTTTATTTATTTTGTCCCAAAATGATTTTCCATTTTCTATTTTAGGTATGTAAATAAGAATAAAGTGATAAATTTACCCTTACTTTTATTTTTTCCTCATTAACTTAAAGACATCTACTTTTAGAAGGATGATTTAAAGTGTAAAAAGCAAGCATCATTTATTGTCATTTCTTAATTCTTGTGCCGGTCAAAGTTTGCAATTCAATTCGGGACGGAAGGAGTATTATATACTACCTCCGTCCCTTAAAACTTTGCCAAAGTTGAGGTTTGTGCAGAGGAGAGAGAAATAACAGAAACCACAAAATAATTGATTAAAAGGGAAAGTGACAAAGTTTTTTGGGACGTCCCAAAAAGGAAAGATGACGAAGTTTTAAGGGACGGAGGGAGTATCTACTTATATTATTTATCTACTTATAAATACATATATTTATATTACATAGATTTCTTATCTATTTATATATTAATTATCTACTTATAAATACATATATTATATTATTTTTATTACATTTTTAAGATGAAAGGTAATAGATATTTGGTTGATATGGGTAACCTCGACCGCAACCGAACGAACGAGCTTGCGAGAAAGAAGAGATCCTGCAAAGGTAAATCTCATATCGGCTTTCATCTCAAAGTCGAGATGATTTTGATACGAGTTATGCAAGGAGGGATGGAGATGTGATTACCGACGAACAACTAGAACAAGAATAGCACTGAAATAATGTAAATTCAAAATATTATATTTTGTGACATTTGTAAATTCATAAAATTAAATAATTAATTAATTTTACATTATGTAATTTATTCAAACTAAAATAAACAAAAAAATTGAAATCAAAGGCCTTAAACGGCTATATAGCCGTTGGCCAATTGGGGTTAGGCTTGGACTTGGGCCGGGTCGGGCCCGGGCCGGGCCGCCGGTTCCGTATCCATAGGCCGAGACCGGCCCGGGTCTTGACCGGTTCCGGGCCGGGCCGGTTCCGGTTCATTGTTTAAAATTCTTATTTATTTCACCCCCAACCCCCATCCCCCCAACCCCACTTTAGAAGTTTTTATATTTCATTTCAGTAAATAAGCGGATATGTGCATTTTAAAAGTTCGTACTACATCTTATTTTTGTGACAACTGCATTTTATTAGCTCATATGTTGCATTTTATCCTTATAATATGTACACAATAGAAGTTTGTATATTGCATTTTAGTAAGGTGACACATGCATTGTACAAGATCATTTGATGCATCATATAGTTATACCATCTGCATGGTGACTATTGTAAGAAGACCGCTAAAATGTTGGATTATTAGTTTTCATTTTCCCTATAATATATGAGAAACATGTTTTAAAAGGTAAAAAATATAACATGTGTGCATAATAAAGTTACAAAAGCTTTGCATGAACATGAAATTGTTGAATTGGTTAAAAACAAAAAGGTCAAATAAGCGCTTTTACTATCTCCAATCCGTCACTTAAGCCCCTGTACTAAAAAAGTATCATATAAGTACTTGTACTTTACAAAATAGATCAATTTGACCATTTAATCCGTTTTTGACCTGTAATAGCAGGTTTTTAATATTTAAAAACTCTAAAAAATTGTTAAAATTTGAAGAACTATATAAAAAAATTGTAAAAAATTTCAAAATATTAAAGTCAATATTTTTTTATTTTCAAAAATATTTATATATTCTACATCTATTTAAAAGGTTGTTAACTTTTTATTTTCATATTTTTAGTTTCACTTTATTTTTTCAGTTCTATGAATTTTTTATTTTTTATTTTAATGTTTTTAAAATTTTAATATCTAATTTTACATTTTTTATTTTTTTATATTATTATTAGATTATTTATTCAAATTTATATGAATTTTTGTAAGATTTATCAATATTCCTAATTTAATTTTTTAAAAAATAACCTGCTATAGCAGGTCAAATGGCTTTGTTGATTGTATTTTAAAAGTATGCGTACTTATATGATACTTTTTTTAGTATAGGGGATTAAGTGACGGAATGGAAATAGTACAAGGGCTTATTTGACCTTTTTTTCAAACAAAAATGAAAAAAACGTTTAGAAAATCCAGCGTGCACCATGGATTCCATGAAGATGGTGTTATTCGAACAGAAGAACACCAAGATGGTGTGCACAGAAAAAACGATTCGAAACTACAGAGATTAATAGATTTTTTATATATTCAATTTTAATGTCATATTAAAGATAATGAAAAATAAGAATCTTTTTCTTATAACAATCAAAGTACATATAAAAAAGTCATAACGATATAAAACATACTACCTCCGTCCCTTAAAACTTTGCCAAAGTTGATCGATACAGAGAATAATAAAGTAAAAATTGTGTAGTTGAGATTTTATAAATGATTTTCTGGACAAATGCACAAATGATAAATGATTATGGATATTTTGGGGATGTTGTCTCGTTTGACACGACATATAAGACAAACAAGGATTATCAGCCATTGGGAGTAATTGTTGGACTCAATAATCATAGAAAAATAGTGATTTTTGGAGCAACATTGCTATATGATGAAACCATCCCTTCATTCCAGTGGCTATTTGAGACGTTTTTTTAAAGGCATGAGTGGTGCAAAACCAAAGACAATTTTCACTGACCAGGATGCAGCAATGGCTATAGCCATTTGTATTATGATGCCAGGAACATTTCATGCATTGTGCACTTGGCATATCAGAGAAAATGCACTTAAGCATGTGAACCATCTATACCAACATAGTTCGCATTTTTGCGCGGATTTTGAAGCATGCATTGATTTGCATGAAACATAACATGAATTGGAGAATGCGTGGAATGCTCTACTTGTTGATAATGATGTTTCTAATGACTCATGGTTGCATACCATTTTTTGGTGAAGGAAAAATGGGCTTGGGCCTATGTTCGAAAAACGTTTAACGCGGGCATGAGATCCACTAAAAGTATATGTAGACCAACCGTTTTTTGTCGTGCGTATGCACGGGTACTGTGCTAGTATAATCAAAACCACTTCTACGTATGAGAGAGAAAATTCTCCCGTTCAAGTTTTAGCCGGTTTATCTTCTTATACCTAAAATCACTACGTATGAGAGAGAAAATTCTCACGCTCAATTGTTTTAGCCGAATTATCTCATACCTAATATAAAAGCACTACGTATGAGAGAGAAACAACTCCTGTTGAATTGTTAGCCATCTTATGTACCTAAAAGTACAACATATGAGACTGAAAATTCTATTGCATAAGTTTTAGCCGCCTTATCTTTGACCTAGCACTACGTATGAGTCAGGAAATTCTCCCGCTCAATTATTAGTCCATTTATCTTGTTATACCTAAACACACTACATATGAGAGAGAAAATTTTTCCGCTCAATTGTTAGCCGACTTATCTTATATTAAAAAGAACTACATGTGAGAGAGAAAGCTTTCACGCAAAACTATTAGCAAGCTTATCTTGTATGATCTAAAAGTACTACGTATGAGAGAAAAAGTTATCCACTCAATTACTAGTCGTCTTATCTTTTACCTAAAAGCACTACATATGAGAGAGAAAGTTCTTCCGCTCAATTATTAGCCGTCTTATCTTATACTTAAAAGAATTGTTCATGAGAGATCAAGTTCTCCCACTCAATTGTTAGCAAGCTTGATCTCTCATGCAAGCTTAACTCATCATCCGGAGTCCCGTCGCCCCCCGCGTCCTCCTCCCCATCGTCATCCTCGAGCTCCTCTTCATCGATGGTTGTCGGGAATTGTTGTTCTTGTGCAAAACGTGGATCATTTTGGGACAATAGGTGTTGTAGTTCCTCGTCGGACATCATCATACCATCTCGCCGTTGGTAATCTGTTTCAAAATCATCTTGACTTTGAAAAGAAGACTCGGCCCGCACTTTACCTTTGCCTTTGCGTGAAGTAGATCGAGTCGATGCAATCTCCCTCTTGCGGTTGCGTTGGAGATTACCCACATCTACAGAATGTCTACCACGCTCCATCTTTTAAATTGAACAAATATTAGCAATTAACTAATATGAGAAATGTAAAAATTAACTAGTTTTGTTATTTTAATGAGATATGTAGCAATTAACTAATATGAGAAATGTAAAAAATGTAGCAATTAACTAATATGAGAAATGTAAAAATGTAGCAATTAACTAATTAACTAATATGAGAAATGTAAAAATGTAGCAATTAACTAATTAACTAATATGAGAAATGTACAAATGTAGCAATTAACTAATATGAGAAATGTAAAAATGTAGCAATTAACTAATTAACTAATATGAGAAATGTAAAAATTAACTAGTTTTTTTTACTTTAATGAGATATGTAGCAATTAACTAATA